GGTACACAATATTTTAAACAAAAATATAGAATAGCAGCAATACTATTATGAAAATAAATATTTTACGTTTGTTTTCTAGCAATAAATTCGGATAATATTATTTTATATCAAGTTTTTCATATACTACAGACTAATAATGATATTATGCCTTATCATTAAAATATGGTAGGAACATATGGATTTACTTACTATTTTTCAGATACAATGCACGCAATCATTAACACGTCAAAATGCCGTCTAATAATCTTTGTCTTACTTTGATTCCTAACACGTAACATCAACACATCGTATGTTAAGAGGGAGTGGAAAATCACAGTTATTTTAGGTTTATAACGTAGCTTTAAAGCGTACAATTGCTCTCAAGAGTTTGTCGCGAAACTTATGCATAACCTGCACTTAGTGACAAAGATAAATAAGCTTCAACGTTGAGAGAAAAGACCACTTGCTTTAATAAAACTTTATAGAATGCTGGCCATTATAAAAATGAATAATATTTTTGCATTTTGATAAAGATGTATAAAAGATTTACTATAAATAATTGTATATTAAAAAGTACATAATTTATAATATAACGTCCACCATATCATATGTCGATTGCATTACGTCGCTAAATAAAATAATAATTTATTTGTAAATTCTGGTAAAAAAATAATTGAGAATTTTTTTAAAAGAATTTATAGTTACGCAATAATTTTACAAAGTTTTTATTATCTGTCTGATTTAACAAACATTCATTTTAGGTCCTATTAATAAAACGTCTGAACTTCTACTTCTTTCCACATTTCGAAAATACCTTTTAGCTTAGCATTTTCAAATGTTTCTTTCATACACTAATAAAATGAACGTGCCAAGTCCAGTATTAGTACAATTTGCATTTGTAAAGCGATATCGCGACGAAATATTTGGCTGCCTTCCTTATTAACACTTCCGTGCTTATGATAACACGTGCAACTGATATATGAGTTTAATTTAATTAATTCTCTCTATATATTCAGCATTACTCGAGAACTAACACTTATTTTATACAGATTCTATTCATGTAATTGGCCTACGATTTACTCCTTCGTCTAAATATTATAGGAATATATTTAATTTAACAGGAATGATGTTTATGTTCTTAAAGTTAAGTGGTTATATGCTCAATGCACATACTATGCTTTGTTCATATTTTTATGTTTATAAAAATATTATGTTATTAGTCATTAAGATCACTCACGTAATCTATATTTTAAATTCTTGATTTATAGCGGACGTTCTTTTATATTAAATGTTTATGGGCAAAAGTCAAAATATTAATTTGCTATATCAACGATACATAGCAGATTCACCAAATTCCTTCTTTTGCTTTTTTTACCCGAGCGAAGAAGAACCAGTTGATAATAGCCCTTGGCCCTCAGACATTTGTGTCGGTAAAATTCCAAAAGACGAACCTTCAGAAAATGCGTATAATCCGAATCACAAAAGCGTTATAATCAATGATTTCAGATTATGCCTGGCAGATGTGAAACATCGACATTATTTTGTAAAAGTAATATGCAGAAAAGAACAGATTGTGATAGGAACTAAATATGTCCAATGTCATAATGATAAAATAAAATATTACGATTTTTTTTCTAGATAACGATGACTATTTATTGAATAAACATTTATTTTCATTAAATACAAAAATTTACGAATTTATTTCAAATCGTGACTACTCAATTCGTTTAATCAGTGACTTCGAAATACACACACCGTACACACTACTGCATATAGACTGTTTATTATATATACCATCATATAGCATGCGTCGCCACGCCAGAAATCGGTTTTACGTGCGGCTATAGATGTTTCACATCAAAAAATAGGATCAACTATCTGAATAAGAGTGTACTGCAAAAAAGCGATATTTAGATTCTACCTCCGAAAAAGAATGATTCTAGAAATAAATTGTAACAATCCAGCAAAATATTCGCTGAAATTATTAAAAAACGAACAGAATATCGCTCCAGCGGTTATGCAACTATTTGAATGCAACGTTCGCCGGCCATTTTACAACGCAATTAAATGTTGCCATCTGAATGAAACTTTGAAATAAGCCTCGTTTCTATTCTTTCGCTGAAATGTCCTTTGTCTCTGAAGGAAATAGATTATGTCCTTTCGAACAATAGAATTTAAAGCCGTAATTTCGTCTCGCTTTAAAAATACGCTCTTGATACTCCAATGATGCAAGCTGTGTTCTTAGAACTACAAGATATAAATAATATATAGTGAAAAAAAGTCAGCTCAAAATGATAAGAGTAATTCATTTGTTTCTAAACGAAAACAGTTAAATTGCGTGGTTTTCACGGAAGTGATCATCTATACATTTACATCACATCATGAACACAGTTTAAGTAAAAGGTACGAAAGCTCACTTAAGATAAAAAAGTGCTTATGAACTGATGATTTTATTACAAGTGAGTTTTTACTAATAGTCTATCTATTATAACATGTTTATTATTAAATAACACTTGCTACTACAGTGAAGATAACCAGTGTGTCTTAAAATCCCAAAAATATATGACGTGTCAAACACAGAATATCTCTAATAAATAATAGTTTAAAAAAACTAGAACACACGCTTTATATAGAAAACTAAACTAAAAAACAGAAAATAAATTTTAATGAATATTAATTAAGAATAATGTAAATTTTTTTAATAAATATAAGTTATTAATAGTTTGAATAAGAAAAAAAATGTTTTTTTTTGAAAAAAAAGCGGGGGTGCTTTTCAAGATATTATCGAAATGATAATCCTTCTCATATCTGTCAATGAAATATTCATAACTATTGACACCATGCACCCCACGCTTCAAAATCGAGCTCAAAGGGGTCGGTTACATACATACATACATACAGGTGAAGCTAATATAAAGCGTGTAAAAAAAAAAAATGCGCCCAACACACATTGAAGTGCCGCTGATTATATTACTATTATATAAATTAGTGTAATTTTAACATACGTTAGGTTTTTTACGTTTACGTTGGCTATTGAATGTTTTGTTTTAATCATTCTCATGTCACATAGAAAAAAATTTAGGCGATGAAACATTTTCATTGCATCTAAAAATCATAACAACTTCCAAAATATATTTTATTATTATTTAGAAACGGATTTCCACTTCTACTTCTAGCTTCGATATTTGGTTATATAGTACGAATTTGAAAAAAAATATCGACTATGTTGTGTGTAACTTCAGTATTCAATAAAAAAGTGGTACTCATGGCGTTGGCCTTAGATTTGTATATCTGTTTCCTTATACACACACTTATAGACAGGTGGGCGAGGTGTACCGTACGAACATCAGGCCTAAGCCGTGAATTTCTAGTCACATAGTTGACTGAAAGCATTTTTACATTTTTTTCCTTTACAAAGACGCTACTTTATCTATAAACTATTTATACTTCAGTGAAAGTCTAGATAAAATTTAACTACCCTATAACAGCATCCTTATCATTAAGTGAGAGGGTGTTACCCACCCCCAGGATACTTTCCTAGCCAGTCTGCGCGGGAACTCTTTGAAACGTGGACGTGCCGTGCCGAGTTTCAAAACTTTACGCGTAGTATAGCTCGTTTAAATGATTTTTGGAGTGTCTAACAAGTATGCGAGTGGAATATAAGACTATTAGTGTTTGTGTTACGGAATGATTGGTTTGTAGTTTAATTAGTTATTAAAAAGTCGTTTCGTTTCTGAGAAAGCTTTATAAAATTAAACGCTTTTTGTAATTAAAAATTAGCACGGATTACGGACATGATAATTTAACGTTTTCTTTTTTACATAATCCCTGTTGTTGTTATATGAAGTTAATGAATTGAAAAATAGTCGAAAGAGAGTCTCTCTAATTTAAGAAGTATCTCTAATTTAAATCGATTCTTTGTCCTATAACATCGTTCGATAATTTTTTCAAGCTTTACGTGTAATTTAATATTCTAGTACACATACTTGTGTAATAGGGAAATAATAATTATGCAAAAGTTAATAATTTTTCGACGGTTGAAAATTTCTTTGGTGCTTTGTCATTATTTGATAGAATTCCTTTTACAGTCATTAAACAGTCATTAAACAGTTTCATAGCTAGGTCATAATTGGTCCATTTCTGTGTATTTGTTTATTCCTTTATTTTACAAAATAATATAATACAATCATAATATGTTACATTAGAAAACCGCTTAGTTTTGTATATTTTAAATTCTCTGTCTACCATTTTGGCCGCTAACTTCACCATAACATTCTTTATTAATGATTAAGCAAAGGAAGTTCTTTTTATGCCATTTTTACACAAAATACAATTCGTTTGAAAAATCTATAATTTCGTATTTTATTTTTATTAATGCAGATATTTACAACTGATGACTTTTTAATTCAACATTGTTAAATAAACTATTAGGTGTTTTAATATATGTTAATAAAATAAAATAATATAAAAATAACAGAGAGTAGTGTAATTGGGAAATAGAATGAAATATCAGCCTATATGATTATCCTCTGATGGGATGCAGGCCTTTAATAAAGAGCTTATAGGTCATAATCCTGGCCAAGTGTGGGTGGGCCGATAACGTGGACGTAGCGCATTATAAAGCTGCTTTTATTGCGTTATATTTTTCAAGAAATTTTTTTTTATATTTTATTTAGACACTATTGTCTTTGGTTTGGTGAAAATATGAATTTCAGTCGTCGTCAGCAAGACGCTAAAAACAAAATGTAAATACTCGTGTTTAGAGAAGTTTTATTTAATCATTTTACAAAAATGTGTTTTATGAGTACTATTTAGAAGCGGATCTCTAATTCTAGATTCAATACTTGGTGAAATATAATTTGACTTGAGTCAGTAGGCATGAAGAGCTTGCGTATACATCATCTATCACTGAAACATACATACAACATTACCTCATGCCCATTACAGGTTACAAGTCACTAAAGAACTCTGAAATCAGGGCGAACGTTAAATTTAACATTAAAATTATTTTTGTAGGCCACATGCGATGGGTGATTGTGGTGGCGCTAGCGATCGGCCTGGCTGCAAGCACTGATAAGCGGCCGCACTTCACCACAGAACCGCCCCCTCGGGTGCTGTGGCCAGCCACGAGGGGCGCTCATGCGGTATGCAGGGCCAATGGACATCCGACACCAGACATTCATTGGGTCACCGCTGAGGGACAGGTCATTACTACCATACCCGGGTCAAGGTACGTAATTGATCAAATTTAAGATCAGTTTTCCTTCAACTGTTTTTAACCGTATTTATACCAATAATACTAAGAATTGAGCAGTGTTGGCCTAGTGGCTTCAGCGTGCGACTCTCATCCTTGAGGTCGTAGGTTCGATCCTCAGCTGTGCACCAATGGACTTTCTTTCTATGTGCGCATTTAACATTCGCTCGAACGGCGAAGGAAAACATCGTGAGGAAACCGGCTTTTCTTAGACCCAAAAAGTCGACGGCGAACGTCAGGCATAGAAGACTGATCGCCTACTTGTCTATTAGATTAATGTAGCGCCATTGATTTATTTAATACTAAGAATCCTCAGTCTGTCAAATTGTTTTTACGCTGTAATCAACAGAGATAGATCAGTTCTTAAGCTACAACGGTGTCTAAGCAACTAAAAATATGTTTGGCATCTAAAATTAAAGATATCTTTTGCCTGATTTGTATGTTCTTCAGTCGACAGCGTATCATACATAAAACCCGTACATTGAGAACACAAATTAGAACTTCCACTAAGCGACAAATTAATCTTCAAAATCCATATCAAAACCATCAATCGCGATCAACTAATTCGGCTCTTCATGTAGCTAATAAATTGGGATTTCAGTTTCCAATAGTGGTTAGAAGTTTGCGTGTCCGAGCAGGCTTTGAAACTATCTAGATATATTAAGCTGGATATTGATTCGTCAATGTATTTAAACGAATAGATAGAGGAATGGATTGTGAAATTTCGTAGAGTCAGTAACGATTATTCGTATTTAAATTAAAATAAAACATAAAACTGGATGGAAAAAAAGCTTTTTTAATTATATAATAATAATACCATTTTATTTCAGATACTTTAACACTTAAACATATATTTCAATCATGTCATTCTTATGTATCTGTGTGCCCTTCTTTGCCAAAGGCCTCATCCAAATCCCGCCATTCCTGTTTGCCATGTGCAACTCTCACTGCTCACTCTCTGCCAAGATGTTTCCTGTGGTCTATGCATTTCTAAATTGTCTTCCGCTTTTGCGTTTATTGTACCTTGGACACCAGTTTAGTACTTTCATGCTCCACTAATTATCTGTTCCTCTTGTCATGTATCCCACCCATTTCCCCTTAAGTTTATTTATTGTAACATCTGCTACCTTAGCTGTTCTTCTTAATGATGTTTTATTTATTTCATCTATCATCATTAAATCGATCTTTGACACACGTCCTTTCTGGCTTTGTTAATATCTATTTCGGCGGCCTCACCCCCGTTTGCCCCCTGAAAAACTTGTCTTATAATGACGCAATAAGAAAGCAAAAACTATAGATTTTTGTTTAGATTATATAATAAAGACTTTTTTGTAACTATAAGTATAAAGGTTGCAACAATATGTCAGTGTCTAAGGTCAGTACACTAGCTGAATTGGATTTCGATTCTACAAAGGCCTTACGTATTTTGGTATGACTCTGAGGTTCCAAAAACTAACTCTTAGCTACACTTTCAAATACCATACGCACACACCCATTCACCTACTCTTACATTCAAGCATACTTAATATCTTATACAACTAGTGTTTGATAAGTTGTAACAGTAAGACTACATTTCTTTAAAAATTTAATGTACCACGGAATAATTATAATCTAGTTACCCACAACACAGAGATAGATGAATTTGGTCACTACCATATTTCTGTCATAATGAATTAAATGTCATGAATAAAATCTGCATAGAATTCGTTTTCGAAGTAATCGTGTATTTTACTTGAATACTGTGTTACCAGCAACGCTATTATATCGAGAACGTATTCGGTAACCATTAAAACTTTGTGCTAAGGGTACTGAAAATTTCACAAGCCAATAAAATCAACATATACGATTAATAGGAATCTTGCAATTGAATCCATAACTCAAGAAGTGTATTACCAAAGTTGGTTACGCTGCGTACGTACGTGCAAAAGTTTAGGCACAATATTGAAACGGAAATTTGTTATTAAACTGTGTCGCTTTGTTAGTGAGTATTGTAAGTATTGGGAAAATTTATTACAAGACTTTGGTTCGTTCGGAAACAATAACATATAGAGCAGCCTCGCGGCTCTGAAGGGCCTCGTAACCTAGCGGTATAATTAGGAGTCCGTTAGGTGAAGAGTATCAGGTTACATTCCCGGTCGGAGCGCAAGTTTATTTCTATAAATTATAATTTGGTCTGCATTTGGGAGGCATGTACGGTACTGGGCGAATGATTAAACCGTAAAGGGCGGGCACGGTCAAATTAATTAAAAAGGAGACTGTGAGGTTTAGGATGTACGTAACAGTATATCCTAGACCGAGGATAGTAGCTGGAAGTGGTTGGCAATTCAAAAATTGTATTGGTGTAGACCCAGCCTCATGGTCCCCGGGTCAAACTCGACATCTATAGCGCGGGCCAGCGTAAGCGCATTTTCACCACATTAAAAAAACCCTCGCGGCTCTGAGCGTGTGGCATGTAGAAGATTGATTAGATTTATCATTTATCAGTTAATTGATTCCTTAAAGTAATGCGACAACCTAAACAAAAGCCAACCCTAAAATCGAAGTTACCCTTATTAGTACACAAAGTAATAGTCAAACATTACATCATAGCTGGTAATAAATTTAGAAAATGAAGTCTTGTATTAGAGTTTGAAATTGATTGATTTAGCTACAACGTGTGACAATCGCAAAAATTCAGCAGCATACGGTTTCAATGTATTAATAGGATTATTTATCATATATTCAAAGTCAAAGTCTAAAATCATTTATTCATATAGGTAGCACAATGTACACTTATGAACGTCAAAAAAGAAATATACATTAAATGCTTCTAATTTTACATTTACTGCCAGTTCTCAAATCAAGGTCGTAGAATGGAAGAGAAGAACTGGCAATAAACTCTCCGCCACTCTTTTTAATCTCCAAGTTTTTCTTACACAACGTTTGTAAGGAGCTGCAACCATTTTTTGTTTTTTTTTTTAACTTGGGGAAATGCATTGCGCATACCCTACCGCGATGCGACTGTTTAGTGCGGGAGGGTTTTGTGGGACTCGCGATTGTGCATAGCCATTAAAACCCCAAGGTGCCACCAACAATCGCCTTAAGCGGGATGCGGTAACAGCAGAGCCTTATCCGCTTCCCGACATGCGATGTGGCGGTTGCGTCCGCCTCTCCCCGCCCATTGTTGATTTGTGAAGATACTTGACACAGCAAGTATCCTTCACAGATCGGGCCATACGCTTTTAGGAATAGCTGGGGGAGATCGGGTCCAGTGCTTGCAGGGATGGATCACCATCCCTTCTTTTGGACGCATGGACCCCTGCTTCCCCCTTGGGCATTTTTAGTTGGCGAGGATTTGACGGTCCTGCGGTTTCTTTCGCCGTCGCGATGGGTTTCGGGACAATGTTCCCTGGTCGTCCCTGGTGGTCGGGAAAAAGCTGCAATCATTACACTATGTTCCACATGACATCTTAAGTAATTAATAATAACAAATTAAAAACAAAGATTTGTCCTCTATCAGCAGGAGGCATGGTGCAATAGGAGCACGCGTTTATTCGGGAGTCAGTTAAATACCACCGATTAAAGATCAAGCAAAAGTGATTCAATGAATTATTTCTAAAGGTGGATTAGGAACGTGCTAACGTAAGACGTATCAGCATATTCAGGATATAACAGATATAAAATACACGTTAATATATCAATGCCAATAATGGGTCTAAAATTACAGAATCGCATCTATCGTTCAATTTTGTTCGTAATTTTGACGACTCATTGGTCTAGTGGTTAGCACCCCTGACTGCGAAACCATGGGTCCCGGGTTCGATCCCCGGCTGAGACGAACATCGATGTGATGAGCATTTGATGTTGTGCTTAGGTCTTGGGTGTTTAAATATGTATTTATATGTCTATCTATCTATAAAATGTATGTATATCCATTGCCTAGTACCCATAACACAAGCTTCACCAGCTTAGCATGGGACTAGGTCAATTGGTGTGAATTGTCTTTAAAAAAAAAAAAATAATAATAATAATGCTACGAGAATTTTGACTTTTGTTGAGCTAAGCTAAAGTTGGACACTTCGGAGAACTTTACTTTAAATTGACTTAATTAAGAGTACCCGTGACTAATGATGCTTGACTTTGGGAATAACTTTATATTTAACCAATTAATCGCTTCTGCGACTCTTTTATACAATATGTATAATCCGGAGGAGTGAGTGTGCCGATGCATTAAAAATATAATCATTAAAAAATACCAATATGTATTAGATGCGTAAACACGCAAATAAAAAATCTATGTGTTGAATTAACGGTTAACAATTTATCACCAAACTTTGGGTCGTGGTATTATAATGCACAGGTAATGTATTAGTTATCATAATAATCAAATATACACTATTTACAATTTTCTTAACATACATATTAATAATAAAAAAATAATGAAAAGATTATTAAAATAAATTTGAAAAGTTGGTCGCTGTGGCAGTGTATATGTATGTACCTTTAACTGTCGCAGCATTTCTTCGCCGTATTGCAAAAAAATTGTATTATTTTGTATTGTTTGCACAGATTACATTCAATAGTCATAATAATATATGTATGTTACAAAGTAAATGACATTATTACCTGCGGAGAACAAAGCGAGCATTCCAAGTGCATGTATGATTTTCAAAATATATATAATTTCTTATATCTCTTTAAATGTTCATCATAGCATATGTCTCTCTCTTAAGGTTGACTATAACCCTTTTAATTAATTAAATAGTTTGTTATAAAATAATGCATTCTTTCGGAGACTGTTTTTATAACTCTATATCAATCCTCGAATATGAATACGTCATTAATTGCGAGTACTAAGCTTTGAACAAGATGGCTCCTGACATCATTTGATTTCATATCTTACGAGTTATAATAGTTTTTAACTCGCAAACGTAATAATAGCCAAGTACCACGCGTGAATGACATGCACGGATCTTAAATTAACACGTGTGAAACCGCGGGAAGCAGCCAGCACGTTATAGTTCATTGCCATCGCTGAATAACAGACAGCTTCCGGACAACGCACTGAAGCCTAATCAGGTCAAGCAAGACAAATGACAGTTACAATATTTAAAATACCATTATCTGTGTGATTGCTTTGAGACTTGGGGATTCAATAATTTTCTATATAACATAGAACTAAACATAATTACCAGTTTTTTTATAACCTGAAACTAAAAAATAAGGGATGAAATCTCTATTATTTAGATTGTTTTGATTTTGTTGTGGTAATCAAAATATATAACAAGTCAAAAATTAAAATAGAAATATTTTATAATTATGTATTATATTTCATATTTATTTCACCTGAAGTGTATTTACAATGTATGCGTGTTAAGGTCATAATGTATATCTATCTAACAACGTTACAATTATGAATTTCAATGTAATGATTTGTTCATAATAATTATATATTTAAATATTTGATTAAAAATAATTATTTACTATGTATTTTGGGATCGGACGCACAATTACATACTCTATGGCCGCTTTGTAGTTTACACATTTGGCGGCAAAATACAATTAATAATTTGTTATATTGATGTTTTTCTTGTTAGATCATGGTATGAAAGCTTAAAATGTATATTAATATCTGTATTAATATGATACATGATACAGAGCAATGTCAGACTTCATACAAATTATTATAATATGTCGTAAAGAACTTTCTAAAGATACCTATAGGCTTTTAATTATCAAAGTTAGATCGTTATAGACCCATTATTATTCTTGTATTGGTTGAATAACGGCTAACGGCAAAATATTTTGATGTTAATGTTTAAAACAAAGATTTTACGGCATAAACTTGGTAATATTTATGGTACTTTGCGCTATTCAAGAAATTTTGATATCGAGAGTTCATAACGGGAAGATTTTTTTATAACTCGCCATGATTTCAAGGCTCTTCAATAATCAAAAACCTTTACGATATTTAAAACCAACCCTGTTTTATGTGTAATTCAAATAGCTTTCATTAATAACATTTATTTAGATATTACCTTTAATGTAGATGTTTTCAAAACATGATCCTGGGTTCGATGAAAATCTATGAAATATAAAATAGCCATTTAAATTTCTATGTTGGATAGATCTATGTTAAAATCACTATTTGTCTATTAGTAAAGACTTGACTTCTTGAATAATTTAATGAACATTTTAAAATAACTTTATTTTTCCGCAGACATGTTCTAAGTGATGGACGTTTAGTGGTAGGAGCTCGTCGGTCCATAGTGGACGCTGGAGGAGGTGGAAGCAGCGCCATTATTCGGTGTCGAGCATCAAATAAAGCGGGCGTCACACTTTCACGGCCTGTTCTTTTACAACCAGGTAGGTTATACCAACTATCTAGTATGTAGGTGTCTGGTATTCCTCTATAATTGTATTTCAATTCAAGTCTTAACGAGGTAGGAACTTAGGTACGATTCCACCAGTATGCTGAACTGTGCGGCCAACGTTGCACAGCGTACGGCACAAATGTTTGTTTTGGTGGACTCATTCAAGCGAACACATTTAATTGTGCTCACACTATGTCAAGTATTTGAATGATCAAGAAAATCTTCTCAGTGAACAAGTGTGCAACACTGTGCTCACACAAAAGTTACACACATGACACAGCATTGGAGACAGAAGCCAAACACGATACGCGCTTAGTACGTGTTTTGCTATTGTTTTGCACTAAATGTTTGTAAACAAATGTGACGCACGCTATTTTGGTGGAATCGTACCTTATCAAGTAATTCTCCATACGAACAGATCTATAAAGGTCTATATAAAAAAATGTTGTATTTTTTTTAGCGGATACCGTGTAATAGATACACATGTATTTGTGCCATTCAGCCATAAATACTAGGTCGTAGAGTCGAAACGAACAGGCGACAATCATTTCAGTATTTAATTTCTTTCTGGCATAGCCAGATTTTTCTAAGCACTATAATAACTACCTTTGTATTAAAGCGCAAAAGCTAAATTATGACTCTATTAAGTTGACCAATTAACTTTTAGTTACGAGAAACATGAAAATGAAAGTGGAAACAGCCCACGGCTGAGTACATGGATAAACTTTTAATTAAGGCATTAAAACTGGCACATAACATGAAGTTCGAAACTGTCTTTTGTTTAAAGAAAAGAAACATTTTAAAATTGCGACGTTTTCTAAACGAAGTTTTCACGTTTTCCGAGCTCGTTAAAAGTTATAATAATCTTCATGATATCATGTTACGAAACTTAGCGGCAGGTGGCAGATAAAATTCATTTTTATAGTGTCATTCATTATTGAATGGCTCGGTTTAGTTTTTTTGTAAACCGGCCTTAATATTTTACGAAACGAACATTTATGTTTCGGTTGAAAGAGCCAGTTGTGGACTCTTAGCTTTTAACTTAGTAATTTCCCCTTCAATAAAAATAAATATGGTTCCTTTAACATTAAATTTTAAAAAATAAAGCCGGCCATATGAAAAGAACAAGAACACGATATTTACTTTTATAATGTGGAACTGGAGATAGGGCTAAAATATGCTGACGAAAACATTTTCAATAGAATTACTTTTCCATTAAAAGAAAAGTTTTAATTAAAGATTAAGCGACGAAATTTGCTGCGTCTCGTACAAAGCCTTGTTATAAAGAATCCGGAATATTTTTCATTGAAAATAGCGCTTTTATTTTACGACGATTTTTCATTATAGAGAATTTATGCTCCCACTGTCTGTGGGTAGCACTTAAAGATTATAAATAGACTCAGGGCGCTTATTACCCCGTGTATTACTTTATCTTTTTGTTTTTACCAATCATTGGGAGTATTATTTTTATAATGTTTTAAATAAGAAAATACCTAATAAGTAAAATAAGATATATTTTATCGTTAAATAATTATTTACTGAACTGTAAAAACCGTTTTACATTATTGCTTCGAAATTATAGTAAGGTATATTAAAACGTATGTTTTAACTTCATAAAACTATCAAAACATAATTTGAATTTGACGAGAAACTCGAATTTACAACGTTCGTTTTCTATACTATAATATTATAAAGAGGAAAGGTTTGATTTTTTGTTTGTTTGAAATGAATAGGCTCCGAAACTACTTAACCGATTTCAAAAATTCTTTCACTGTTGGCAAGCTACCCTATTCCCAAGTGACATAGGCTAGGTTTCATTTTCAAAAAAGTTAGGGATGCTTACTAAAACTTGGATAATTTAACCCAAGGTGTAAAAAAATAAACAAAAAACTTCCTTCAATCGTGTGCGCTGCGAAAACTATTAATGATAGAACAAAATGATGTATTACAATTTTTCAGGACACATCACTATCTATAAAAAATGTCGCGACAGCATGTCTCTATCTTTTATAGTTACGTCATAATAAGCGTCCTTTTATCAATTTTTTTTAATTAAAATACCACCGCTAGAAAATGCTTTTTATTCGTACCTAGGTATTGATCCTTATCAAAATAATTGCCAACGTTTCACATAAGCTACAATTTAATGGCATAACCACCAAAAAAGCATGGTGGATTGGTGTTCTCCTGCCTTTTCTCTTGAATAGTTTACTACTATGTAATATAACAAAAATCTTAGCCACAGCAACGCTTGGCCGAGTCTACTAGTTTTTGATAATATTCCAGAGTTACCTACTTAATTTATGGAAACCGATTCATTTTTTCTGATAACTAACGTTATCGTAAAGTTTACTTGAAAATACTTAACGAAACTTCAGATGATTTGCACTAAAAAATAACAGATTATAGTACAAGTGACTGTTGTCGCCTATATCAAGAAAATGTCCAAATTTATTTAATATTTTACTGAAATATTCCAAGACGCCCTACAAAATACGGACTACACAGGTTTACTTACCATATTTTAATATTTTCTTATTCAATGAACTTTACTACAAAGGGAAACATATCGACGGTTAAGGTCCAATAGTGTTTATCTCAATAAAGTGAACTTTTCAGGAGATAAAAAAAACATTTCTCGACTTTGAATAGAAAGATACTTGAAATGTTTATATATGTAAAAATAGAAAAAATATGCTGAAATACGATAGATATCCTAGCATTAGCTTAAGATTAACCTAGTTAAAATTAACGTGAGATAGGTGGTATTGGTTTTATTAGTGTAAATATTTTTGAAATAAGTCGTAGTTAGCCGTTTTTGAAATAAAACAACACAATGATAAAATCACATTTTTTAATAATGTTCACAATGAACGATGAAATGATTGTGTTCTAAATAAGTAAAAAGACTTTAAAATAACTGAAAAAGACTTCTTAATAATTATATACTTTAATAACTAAAAAAAATCTTCAAAGTAACTGAAACGAATCTTCAAATTTAGTAGAAACAGATACAAACAACAAAAACAACTGAACCACACACTCACACTCTACAAATGGGGCAGTGTATCTTAAAAATTAAGACACGTAGGGGATATCTTTTTGGTCTTTGTGGCAAGGCAAACCAATCCTGGTCGAAATTTAGTTTTACTTTAATTGTGTCTTGGTTGTAAAGAATAGCTCTTAAGTGATAAGTCTGTTACAGTAGGGTCACCAGCTTTGCGTCCTGGCCTTATAATTTTGTAAAGCCAAGTAGATGTATCGGCATAATTTTTCTCAAAACTATGGTCAATCTGAATTACTTCATAGGGATTTGATGCCCTTGCTTCTTAAGTTACCGAAACATAATCACATGGCAAATGAATTACACGATTTGAGAGCTCCGTTCCATCGCACTATGAACCGAATCACACTCAAACTCTAACTCAAACTCAAAATATCTTTATTCAAGTAGGTAACCAAGTACACTTTTGAATCGTCAAGTTAAATTAATCGTAAATTTACATTTACTACCAGTTCGCAAGTCAAGGGCGTAGAGCGGGTAAGAAGAACTGGCAAGAAACTTTCCGCCACTCTTTTTAATCGCCAAGTATTGTCATACAAATTGTTTGAACTGGAGCAATTCAATCCCAAGGATTAGGATCATTTAAGTAGTCCTCAAATTTATAAAAGCTTTGTTGATTAATTTTCGTTTAACGAGGGCTTTGAATTTATTTAGTGATAATTCTCTAATTTCGCTTGGGAGCTTGTTGTAAAAACGAATACAATTTCCATATAAGGAGTGGTTTATCTTTTGGAGCCTGGTTGGTCGTACACTCAAATTAGTTCTATTTCGCGTATTATACTGGTGAAAGTCACCATTTGTTTTAAAATCGTTTATATTTTTTTGGACATACAACAAGGCTTCAAGAATATATTGACCAGATAGTGTCATAATATTTAATTCCTTAAACTTATTCCGTACCGACTCCCTCGGAGAAACACAACAAATACCCCGAACAGCCCGCTTCTGCAGCACAAATATGGATTGAACCTCTGCAGCAGCACCCACAGTAAAATGCCGTACGACATAACGCTATGAAAGTAGCTATGGTACACAATTTTAGCCGTGTCCTCATCAGTAAACTGTCGGATTTTCTTTACTGCATATGCTGCAGAGCTCAGCCTATTCGAAAGAGTCTCTATGTGTGGGCCCCATTGGAGTTTACTATCTATTGTTATGCCTAGAAAAACAGTTTTGTCAACAAAGTTTAGTTCACTGTCCTTAATTTTCAGGTTACCAATATCTCGCTTTACGCTAGTAGTTGTAAATCTAATACATTTTGTTTTATTCTCATTAAGCAATAAGTTATTTACATTAAACCAGTTAACTATACGAGAGATAGAATTGTTTACATCGTCCAATAATACGTTATTCCTATTCACTTTAAATAGAAGTGAAGTGTCATCAGCAAACAATACCATCTCATGAACTTCGTTGACAAAGAATGGGAGGTCATTTATGTAAATCAGAAATAAGAAAGGCCCGAGAATCGATCCTTGGGGGACGCCCATTGATACCTGCGAACCCGGAGAGGTGACTCCATTGACATGAACTCTTTGGATCCTTCCCTTTAAATATGAATTCATCAGGCTGGAAGCTTTGCCATCAACGCCATAGTGTTGAAGCTTTCCAACGAGTATATCAGGATGAACACAGTCAAAGGCCTTTGACAGGTCACAAAAGACGCCGACTCCATCATATGATTCTTCCCAGGCGTTAAATATGTCCGAAATCAACTTCACACCGGCATCGATTGTGGAGCGACTCCATTTGAGTGTGACCACGTTCGAGGAACTTTTGGGTGATGGTGATTTTGTGCTTTATACTTAAGTTTAAAAGCGCATTTGGAATTATAACGTTCCGATTTTGGTACGTGCAACCATCGGAATAAATAATTATTGGCATTTTCATCGGCAAGCAATGGCGCTCTAAGTAGTCTATCACAAATGACACGAAAGTACTTCTGTGAACCAGTAACATGTGCAATGGCGTGAAGTCAAATCGAAGAGTGTAAAATTATGACATGTCAATTTCGTTTTAAAGTATAAAGCGCTAAAGCAGTGGAGTAAGGGCAAACTTTAACGACTCTAAGTCCATCGTTAATAAAATGCAATGTCCCTTAGCTGCATCCTCTTTATCCTTTGCCTTCTCTTCCCTGGCTCTATTTTTTTAATAAGATGCTCTTGATAAATATGCTCATCGATATTACCTTCATCATTATGGCCAACACAAATATCACACATATCTTTTTTAAAGTATATATTGATAAATTATTCGGTTTAAAACTTTTATCAAATGTGTATGTAGATACAGCAGGTATATTAATGTTGTTTATAGTCGTTAAATACATCAGATATAGTACGACATACAGGCTCCAAGCACAATTTTCTTGTATCCTTACGCACGAGCATAATGTGATGGCATTTTTGGGACACTTTTAAAATAGTTATTTAAGGCTAAAATCTTAGCATTTTGTCTATTTACCTGGATAATCTCCTGATTTTCAGCGTCCACACTGAAACTAGCGTCTTTAACCCACAGCTGAACAGTGGTAGGCTTCAGTGACAGAGTATTCAAAAACATCTGCTTACAAACTTGAATTTTACCTTCATTCCCTGGTTTAGCCGAAAAATAACTTAATGTGCCCTCTCGGCGAGATGACTCTTCACCTTTCGTTTTCTGAGTAGTCATAGTACGGTTCACATGTCCTCTGACAAACATTTTTATTTCGCCCCAATTAAGAGTTTTCCAGAAGTAGCTATGAATGGATTTGCGTGTCTCTTCTTCAAAATTATTACAACCTCTAAATTTGCTTCTTCTGCAAGTCTGAAGTGCATGAATCACCCATTTGCTTAGCTGGTCGTATCTGGTCTTGCCGCATTTTCTCGTTTCGATGCGGCGAGGTGCAGCCGCAATAGAGAAGAGATAAACAGTATTGCCAGAAAAATAAACGCGCTCTTAACTTAGATGGTATTTCTACAGCGAATAACTACGACAATTTTGTGAATTTTGAGATAGATGCCTCAGTAGGCCAAGCCAAATTAAACTTTAAATCTACCTGCATTAAAAAGTGAAAAACGTAAAAAACTGAGATAGACACTATTGGTTCTTAAACGTCGATATTGGAGGAACTGGGAGCTGATTTATATTCAAATAACTTTTAAAATATTCGACTCTTGTTAGACTATAAAATATGCATTATTACTTTATAAATACATGTTATAATGATGCAAAAACCGTGGGAAAATGACCCCTTAGAATGTTTTTGGTGCCGTCTGATTAGTCAGATAATATTTTCTAAAGAGACGCAGAAATGTCCCATAGGTAACCGGAATGGACAGAGCGGAACTTTGTTCCTGGGATCGATTCCCTATAAATAATTCCTTTTGTTTCATAGACTCAAAATGCCCATGATTGACGGAACACAAAAATCTGTGTGCCCTATTTCATTGTGAATTTTGTTATATGCTAAAATTAAATGGTATTTTATAAAAGGTTTTAAAAACTTTTTGTGTCATACAAAAGATCTTTCTGATAAAACTGGTCTTTTTTTCAATATATAAATTGTTTCTGGTACCAGAATCAATAGTTAAAAAACTACCAGAACTTTTGAGCTGCGAATAGCGTAAATGCCAATAAAAGCAATACCAAACAATATTGTTTGTGCAAATTTTAATTGGCGTAAAAAATTCAATAACAAGGACTCGTAATTGTGCGACGTCAATACGCAATAATGAGGCATTCCAGACAAAACAGAAGCGAATTGATTTATGTTTTGTTTGTTATAAGAAAAATTGAATAGTTTTAAATAAAAAAATAATTGTAATGCCAATTAATGTTAAGTTTTTTAGTGAATAAAGCATTCGTTTGCTATTTGGTCTTAGAAAATATAATCTCACAGAATAAATAGAAATTCTCGTCGAAATCACAATGGGTGCCAAGTTCTATATCTAAGAAACGGTTGAAACATTTCCTCTCTAATCTTAGGATAACTGTGTGCCCATGAGGAACGTGTAGAGTCAAGCCAGCAAGTGTATAAACTAAATGTTTGCTATTATGTCACCAGTATTTTGTAACTTTCAACTTAAACGAATTTAGATTACATGTGTTGAAAAATCAACCGATTAACAGAACGCCATACAACATTTGATACGAAAAAAACATAAATTTATAGAGAATTTACATCTTCCCATTTTTATTCTAATTGTATTTGTAGTTGACGACAGTGTCCTCACAACTACAGTGAAGCAACTAACTCCCGCAAAATTAGGCGGATCTGTAGTTTTAAGATGTGAGATATCACCACAAATAGGCTTCACAGACATCAAATGGCTTCACGATGGACTTCCTCTCGCTACTGGGTATATCGGTACAGGTACGTTGTTACTATTTCTTGTACTAGTATTTACACTTTTTGATGGACAAATTTATTTTTTTAACAGTTTAATTAAATTATATATAACAAAAAACTATTATACCAAAGCTATAATATATACAAAAAAGTTGAAACATTTACGAAACTTATACATTTAACTAAGTGATACCTAATCGTGTGTTTTGTGTGATGGTGTGTAAGTGAAGTTTTCATAACTTAACGTTAACATATTGACTAGAAGCAGAGTTATAGGTTGTTTTTTCAGAGACAAGGTGGATATCTGGTGCGGGAGGCCTATTATTAGGATCAGACCTGACGCAGGCTGACGTAGAAGCTGAATATAAATGTGTTGCGGTAGACACACTCAGTTCCACGTTAAAGCTAACGACAGATGGTAAGAATTATTCGTATAGCTAAGAACGTAATTCCTTTGTTTTGTAACAAAATTGTTCTTAAATTGTCTACCTTACTGGTCATATAATTTTGACCCAAAATTCGAAAAAAGAACTTACTAATTGCCACTGACTAAGTTAATTATTTCTCGAACACGATAGCGTAATTATATGTTTTTTTAAACAGAAAGCACCTGGTTAGAAAGTGTGGAGGTCAATTCCATTGAAGCTCGAATGGGCGACACCGTCATATTGCCGTGCATTTTTCGACACATCAACAGACATGCAATTACGTAAGTTTGTCTTTAGTGTGAGATGTATTAAAATAGGTTTATTACAAGTTTTTGTAATGTTATTCTTATTAGGTAACTTATATTTAGTTTTTAAAAATATTGCCCAAATAAAAGAATTTTTAACTAAAACTGTTAAATTATATCTTAATCAGTCTCTCAAATCTCTCTCTCTCGCGGGAGAGTATTTAGATCATAAGTTTTGTAAACAATTATAATTAACTGTTCTTCTGTCGCCAATTGTGACATCATGATATGTAGGTATGACATTTGCATAGCTATTTTATATGGCTGATTGTGCGGTACTTTTTTATAATTGATCACTCAATTATTATTGTACAATAATACAGTCATATTCATATATTATATCAACCACGATTTACGCGTGTCTTGCACACCCTGAATATGCATGTGAAATATATATTTAGTTGCACACTGGCTGAATTTCCAAGGATTGCATTATTTGTAATTTGTAAAAGAAAATGATTATGTTTTATGTTTTCCTGTTAGGTTTATGTAATATTATATTCTTAGTTTTTATATTTATAAGTATTCTATTATATTAGTAATAAGTTATTGAAAGAATAGAAAAAAAGGTAATAAATAAAAATGTAGATAGGTTATCAGCTGTCTGTGCCTGACACGCCGTCGACCTATGGGTCTAACGCATGTCAGCTTCTCACGAAATTCTCCATGACCGTACTAGCGAGTGTTATATGAGCACATAGACAGAAAGTCCATTCGTAACAGCGAGGTTTGGAACCTACAACCTCAGGGAAGAGAGTCGCACGCTGAAACCTCTAGACCAGCACTACTCCTTTAGCGTATAAAATAAAGTAAAAATAATTTTTTGAAAAGATGGCAGCGACAAGACGCAAATGGAGTTTGGGTGACTGCATCAGGTGAAGGGGTTGTACGAAGTGGTGCGTTGATCTTACCGAATGTGCAGTTCCAACACGCGGTCAAATACGCCTGCTCACCTGGTACAGAGAGCACACCGCGCCTCATTGTAAGGCTAGTGGTGTATGAGCCATTGACTGTAACCGTTACACCGAATCCTTTGGTAAGTATATGTGTATTTCAAATTACTGTATAGTTAAGAATAGTTTGAGACACAATTTCCGGATGTAATGACTAGAAATAGAGTAACCCAACTAACAAGCTTTCTTTTAATAGAGAAATAGAGAAAAAACATCAGTTTAATCGTTAAATGATTGAAGTTCAATAAGAGATTCGTTTTATTAGAAGTATAAAGATAACTTTAAAGCTACAAATAAAGTGAGCTTCTTGCTCGTAGGATACGATTGGTGGAAGATATTGTTTCCATAGCTTTTGATTAATTAAATACTAAAGTTTGTTAACATAAATACTGTAAAATATAGCTTTTCTAACGGATTTGAATTAACACAAGGCAACCGTAGATAGTGAAACCACATTGGATAGGCCTTGTCGTACTTACCTGGACTAGTCAGTATTAGAGAAGGGACAAGTTAAAAGTACCCATAGCCGACTGGCATGCATGGTGAATGTCTAGAATATGGATGAGCGAGAGACGTTTGCCAGGACTAAGTGAAGATCCGTGGTCTCTGCCTACAAGGGGTAGTTAGTAAAAAGGCAGAATAATTTTACAGATTCGTATGTATATTTAATTTGGTTTATCTAAAGTGCGTGCTCCTATTTAACCATACCTCCTGCTGATAGAGGACAAATCTTTGTTTTTAATTTATTTTATTATTATTAATTACTTAAGATGTCATGTGGTACATGGTGTAATGGTTGCAGCTCCTTACAAACGTTGTATAAAACAAAAAACATGGCGATTAAAAAGAGTGGCGGAGAGTTTATTGTCATTTCTTCTCTTCCGTTCTACGTCCTTGATTTGAGAACTGGCACTAAATGTAAAGTTAGAAGCATTTCTTTTTTGACGTTCTTAAGTGTACATTGTGTTACCTATATGATTAAATGATTTTTGACTTTGACTTGACTAAATGCGTATTGCTCGCGTCAACCAATTGACATAAATACAATTTTCAGTTGATAGGTACTGGTGGGTCTGGCCAGTTTAACTGTTCCGTATCAGGAGGTAGGGGTGGAGGGGTCACACTAAGCTGGCAACATGAAGGCAGGCCGTTACACTCTCCACAGTCCAAACTGACACTGGGACATGTGAGGGCCCACCATGCTGGTGTTTACCAATGCACGGCTTATGATCACTCGGATTCAGCAGTTTCTGGGGCTGAACTTATAATTGCTGGTAATATTTTGTGCAATTCACTATATTAATTTTATTGTTGAAAAATGTTTGCGAGTTATTTTAGTTAAATGAAGACATTTATTCATAAAAATACATATTACATACATTTAGAACTGAAATTAATTATTTAATATAGAACTGTGCCGTGTCTTTCTTACGTTATTTATTATTTAAAAATATAAGCATTTGATATAAATAAGGAATCATTTATTTAAATTCTAAGAATTCCGTTAATACATTCCGCAACTGTTTTATAATATTTTTTTTCAAATAATCCCATATGCCTTTTGTTAATAAAAAATAATGTTTGAGCCAAGAAGGCGGTTTAATATATATGAACTACGTTTTAGACAGACCTCCAAGACTGGTGACGACATTCAGTGAGGTCATAACTCGTGTTGGGCAAAGCATTGTTCTAAGATGTGCAGCTACTGGTTTACCACCTCCTAGAATAGTCTGGACTTTGGACGGCAGACCTCTTCCATCAGCACCGGAAAAGTGAGATTCTAAATATTTATTATCTATACCAATGTTATAGAGGTGAAGTTTGTGAAGTTGTAGGGGGTAATCTCTGGATCTACTGAACCGATGTTAAAAATTATTTTACCAGAAGGCTACGTTATTTGTGACTGTCATAGGTTACATTGCTTAATAAACCAAGACATACTTTTGCAATGTGATCCTAATTTGGATATGAGTAATCATAACAATCAAATATACACAATAAACAATTTTCTTAATCTAGTCTACTTAATTTGTATTTAAAATTTTCTCTACCTATAAAGTAATAATAAAAATTATTATAAATTAAAAAGAAAATTAAAACAAATTTCAAAAGTTTGGTCTCTGTGGCAATGTACCTTTAACGCAGCATTTCCTCGCTGAAGGTTATATACCCTTTTTGTGGTAGTCGGATTAATAGCTATATATATTTAGATAAGTCGGAGAAATACGTTCGAACGAAACGAAAAGAAAAACGAATAAAACCTTGATGAAAACCTACAAAAAAGTCAGCGATAGCATATGTCTAACCTTATATTGTATAAAAATTATACTGACTGTTCGCGATAAACTTTAAAACTACTGCACGGAGTTTATTGCGGCATTTATCAATATGTATAATGATTTATGAGGAAGGTTTTATTTTTCAAGTTGTACGGGTCACTGTTGGCGTAAGCCGGGTTACTAGTAATACCGCTTTGAACCTCTTTGTCTTGCGCTTGTAAAGCCAATGTGACGCGGAAATTCAAGTTCTACTTCAGCGTGTAAAAATATATTTTTTATAATTTTTTTCAAAAAAATAATACATAATTCTTTACGATTCCTACTGTAATACTTTGAAAGTTCATAATTTTTAGTTAAACAGCTTTAGGAATAACACTAGTACCATATTTAAGACTTAAGTTTTGTAATAATTTTTATATTTTTTTATATGGACCTACTACATTGGTGCTGTTATCATTTTACATCTTATTTTAGATATACAATAAATACAAGGGCAGAATCCCTCCCAGGAAGTGAAGAAGGGAGCATTATATCGACTTTAAATATAAATATTAGAACTGCCGATGAAGGAGGCAGATATGGGTGTAATGCAACTAATTCTGGCGGGTCGCGGGCGCATCATGCAAGGATTAATGTTTTTGGTATATTATTAATAATAAACCATGCTTTTACTCTTTAAATAATAAACCGCACTAGTATTTAAATCAAAGATGTCTGAATTTCACTCTTTTTTCGCATACTTAAATTGAAAAATATTCCATGATTTTTTTATTATTACATATTATTCACAGTTTGTAGAGAATTTATAAATCTTAGAAACTTTCTTTCGTATAATATAAGACGTATATAGAACTGAAAAGAGTTGCTCATTATTCTTAATCAAAAAGTTACCAAAAACCAATGAGTTAATCGTTAACCTATATATAAAATAGGTAGGTTCCTTATTCGGAAGTACAAGGATAGTCTTAGGAATCTAATGAAAACATACTTAATGCTATGGTCTCGGCTCATACCGCTAGCTCATACCTCGTATATATGTCGCAGCTAACTAGCTTAATTAGCCGTTCAATTAACAGCCTAACCTTTTATCTAAACGGTGCCGTTTAACTAGCGGCCTGAAAGATATTCAGCAGTAGCGTTTTTTACAACATTCAATAAACTGGCTGGCTAATGCTTAGGCCATTCGTACGATAGATTCATTATTTGGGAATAAAAAAAAAGATAAAACATATGATATAAAAAATATTTCTTTTAAAATTAAATTGCTTGAGTCAAATTCAAATTATTATTGTCACTACACTCTTCCATTGTACTTGTTGTTTTTCATGAAAATTTGGAAAACACCATCAATCAGTTGTGATTTGCCGACGCCATATTGACAGTGTGAAGAGTTTCGTTTCGAGTTTGAGAGTGGTAGAAAGTGGAATTATATTTAAATTAACAACACAAACAATCAACAGGCTAGGCAAGTAATGAAACGTCATCGATCCAAGTCATTTGCCTAGCTGTTTGATCAACTGGCTAGCTGGCTGAACATCTTTCAGGCCACTAGTTAAACGGCTAGGCTGTTAATTTAACGGCTAATTAAGTTGGCTGTGACATATACATAAATAAATTCTACACTACTAACTAATTAATCAATACAAATAAGAAATACCTACATGTTCTTCTGAAATACATTATGGATTGACAATGCTACAAGCTCGAAAATTTATCTATGAATATACTTTGGCAATAATAAAAAAACTAACGTGCCAGATATTTAGAAAATTAAGTATTTATGGATGCCTGAGCTTCCCTACCAATTGTGCCCAAAAGTCCTCATGAGGACTTTTGGGCACAATTGACATGTTTCTAAAATTTTGTTATTTCTTTGATGAGACTGTTATTATTTTTAAGAATATTTTTTATAGAACATTAAGTCAAATATATGGTGCGATTAACCTCTGCAATAGATCTGATTATATTGCGAATTTGGTTTTTATTATTATTTATGTGAAAAAGTGCTAACTCCCCTATCTTTAATACTTTTCACTGCATTTTTAAAATGATTTGTGAATAATTTCAGGCTCCCCCAACATCAGATATTTACCACCGATGCATGTTAAAGTTGAAGCTGATGTCATAATTTATTGCCCTTATTCTGGATATCCTATTAAGTAAGTATTCTATTATATTTACAGAGTAATAAATAAATATGTATATGTTTCATTCAATTAATTAGTTTCCATCACATGATTATCGTGGCTATTCAAGTTCATGGTACAACGGGCTAATGTCATAGAAAAATAAAAAACTTTATGAATTAGTGAGTAAGTTTTAAGGCAGGTTACTTTTGAGTGGTAAGTGTTAAAAGAACACAAGAACAGTGTCTTCTCCTTAACTGTATGTAATGGACATTTTCTTAAGATAAAGATCATTATATATCATCTATCTTATTTTTTATTTACTATCAAATTAGTTGTAGAAAATTAGGTTAGATTTAAATTAATTATTAGTCTTAAGCTAAATTGTAATGTACAATGATTTCTCAGTAAAGAGACATTTATAAAAAATATCTTGAGTTATAATTATATACGCAATTAACTCATTGACCGCTTTCTGATTTACAAAAGCAGGGCTTGTCGTCGGAATTAAAACCTTCATACTTTTAAGTGAAGTGACATGTTTTTGGGTCTAAGTGTTATTATAATATATTTTTTAAGGGTCTTTTATATTGTGTAATTTGGTTGTTGTATATTCTATATTATACGTCTTTAGTACCACTTAAATATAATTCTTTAAGTAGGATTATGGAAATAAACAGTGTATTTTAACATTTCTTTCTTAATAACTACGTTGTTTGGCTGTATGCACGTTATTTAAACTAGTCATTAACCATTACCATTATGTTTAATTTCAACTATATCGGAATCTACAATAATTTTTCGCTTTAAATAATTAATCATAAACTGAATCTTTAGCTCTAACAGTTAGTTAAAAAATGACTTATCAAATCATTAAAACGTTTGATTTTTATAATCAAAAACCTTTACGTTAGTATTGCCTATGCCTATATATACTTATACGAGTGAAATTGCTGAAAATCACACGTCAAATTGTGTAAATCAAGAAAGAAAGAAGTCGTATATAGGAATTGTTTAATTATTTTAAATATACAAACAAAATCAACATAAGTATATTTAAGGGAGGTTGTTTGGAGGCGGGATGATGGATTGTTGGTTGAATCACCAATGGAATCCGCCGAAGAACGTGGCATATTGAGGTTAACATCTGTGAGGAGTTCCGCTGCTGGAAGCTATACCTGTGAAGTTAGGGCTGAGAGTGGAGAGCTGGCAAGGCGGACGGTTCGGATTGAAGTACATAGTAAGTTATACAAATATTAATGTAAAATTAAGGAAAAATTTAATATTAAATATTAAACAAATATTTTCGAATTTCTTATCAAATATTACAAATTTATATTTTTGTCAACGTTTTTCGTATTCTCTTTTCAAATATTTAAATTTTAAGATGTCTACATACCTTATTTTTTATCTAAATATATTAAAATAACAATAAAAATAGTACCAGAGTTTGTTTAAATGCGGAATCAACTATAGGTACTTATTTGTTACAATGCATTGTTTTATTATACATAAATAATATTTGTTAGTTCAGTTTAAAGAAGTAACGATGTTTTCCTTTGCCGTACGGTTTTGTGTTAAATGCTCACGAAGACAAAGTTAGTGAAGCAAGCTGAAGGCTAACTGGTCTATCTAATTAAGTTACTTAGTAGTACTTACTTATTACTATGACTCAAATAACGTTTTTATTTAGAACCTCCGAAAATCGCATCATTTCAATTTCCGGATGAGTTAGAAGTGGGCGGAAGTACGCAAGCGACCTGTAGCTTGGTATCCGGTGATAAACCTATACAATTCACATGGCAAAAGGACAATTTACCAATCCCTTCAGTATTAAAAGTACGTATCAACCTTTATTACCTACATTTTGTTCTGTTTTTTAGCATAAGAAAATTGGAAATACTCTATCAAAAAATGAATCATTGACTTCTCATAAATGGTTTTTTATGTATTTAACAACGCAAAATAAATTTAAGTTTAAGTATTGACGCTCGCAATGATCGTTACCTCTTTCTTAGTATTCGTCTCACAAAGGCGGAATAACTCGTGACCAGGGCCGCGCCGACCCCCGGCAGCGCCTGTGTGCGAAACCCATGAAGCGCCTCCTTTTTCTATAGGGGTCAAACGAGCCTTAGGGACGGACAAAAATGGCAGTCATTGAATCTCATAGACATTTTTAGCGGGTGTGTTGCAGGCCTTTGAGGGAACTCCTTCTATATTTCGGCCTATTTTTTAAGAATCTTCAAGTTTCAATGTATTTTTTAATTTTGACCGAAAGAAAAATTTTCTTTAGTTTAATCAACTTAAATAGGTAAAACGTCCGCTGGCCAATTGCCGTGAAAAATAAAACGTGAATTAAATTGTTACATAGTTTATTTATGATGTTATTTTAATCTAACCGTTTTTAAGGTCAGATTTATGACATATCTTTGTAATAAATCCCATCTTTTAGTAGAAAGTGACGAAAAATATTTATATAGTTCTTGCACAATATTAAAAAACCCAGTCGTGTATGAGATGTGCAGCGACATTTATTATTAAATTTAAACTATGGCTGGCGCACGGACATAAAAAGTGCGGAGATTTACATCCCGCAATATTCTTACCGCGCATATTTGAGCCATTATCATAGCCTTGCCCCCTTAAGTTCTTTATGTCCGAATTAATTTCGTTTAGTTTTTCTATTCTAGATGACGTTACTCCAGCGCCAGTTGTATCTACGATTGGGCAGAAAGTGCTATTATAAATTGGAAAGCTAGGAAATGCTCTCTTATTCTTAACTTTCTAGTTTACATGTTAAAGTTGACAAATCTTATTATCATACTAATTTGCTCTTCGTGTGAAACGTCAGTAGTACAATCCAGTATTATTGAAAAATATTTATTAATTCGACATAAATTTAAAATAAAATGTTGAATTTGGTTACCGAGTATAAAAAATAGTTCATTTTGGATTTTATTAAGGCATAGTCATGTCGGCATATTATTGAAATCATAAGACATAAACACACTCAAAAAACTCACGGCGGTCACCAGCGGCCTTTCTTTTGATTCGCTAAGCTCTGAGTAATTAATGTAAACTAAAACCTAAAGCGTAAAATGAAACTTCAAATGTACGTAAGAATATTGTAGTGTAGTATAAATAATTTCGGTGGCGGCGCCCTTATTGTATTAGCGCCTGTGTGCACCGCACACTTCGCACATATGGGCGGCGCGGCCCTGCTCGTGACATACAAAGAAGATTACTTCTTATATTAATACATTATCAAAACTATTTCAATACTATTCCTGTTGTATTTTATCAGGTTGAACAAAAAAATATGGATTTCTTCACAATACTAGTGATACAGGGGTTGACTTCAATGCACAGCGGTGAATATTCGTGTCGGGCCACAAATGAATTTGGAAGTGTTAGCCACTCGGCATTTTTGGTTGTGAAAGGTTGGTGTTTAAAATATTTTTGAAGTTATACTTCTTTAGGCGCGTTATGAAAAATTTATGAGAGTGAAATTTTATAATGCGCGCGCACCTGTGACACAAAATTAGGAGTGTGATTATAGCGTGCGGGAGCGAGATAGGAATAAGACAATCTACAAGTAAAATGAAATAGAATATGCGTGAAGTTCGTATGCCAAGAATTTTGAATGACCATAATGACATTTGTCATTTACCTTTTAAACAAATAAAGGAGTTTTAATTATTTTTTCAAAGAAATTTAGCAATGCTTTTTGAATTATAATCAGAAGTGATTTAAATTGAATATTTAAACCAATACTAATTAATATTTGTGAAAAAAACTGTGCTCATCAACCTTCCTAAGTGCTTCATTACAATTGAGGTTAACTATCCGTATGTATTATTATTATCGAGTAATGTTTTGATTAAAAAAATTACCACATTGTTTAATCAAAACATGTAATTTTTCTCTAGCAAATATAAGGACAAGAGACAAAAAACAATTGATGAATCAGTGTAAGTGCACTAAATTGAATACAAAAAAAGAGTTGTCATCTTATCGCTGTGAAACATCAAAAACTGGAGGTGGAACAAAGCCAAACTATTTTTAATAATGCCAAAGAAGTATAACTTCTTACGCGCGTACATAAGTACACGCACCCTTTTTTTTTCTAACTTATTTCAGAGCGTAGATTAGTCTGTACTAGTTATTTTTATTTTGTACAATTCGAAATTATTGTACACTTTTGTATAATATTTGTAGTTTTATTTTTAAATCGTGTCGAAATTACGTTTACCATAGTTATTTTTAAAATTATTTCTCGCTAGGGAAAGCTTCCTCTCTAAGAGATTGCTTATTAGAGATTAGACCCCTCGTTACCTGCCTAATTAATTGGCTTTTCTTATCACTGTGTAAATTACATATAATTAATAATTATCTAGTGAGTGTGGAAGTATTTATATTTTTAACATTAGTTAAATTATGACTTCTAATGCATATAAATTGAGAATTTAAATTAGAAAGTAAAATAAACAGATTATAAGCTGCCTTGCGATTCTGTAACTCACATTTCGAACTCACATAGCGGTTTTCGCGTCGGCGGTCACTCTCAAATCAGTCGTGAAGCAGTCATGTTATGATTTGGAATTCTGATAAACAATAAACTAAAAGCTCCCACCTTATCATAATGCCAAATCATAACATGACTGCTTCACGACTGATTTGAGAGTGACCGCCGATGCGAAAACCGCTATGTGAGTTCGAAAAGTGAGTTACAGAATCGCAAGGCTGTACTGATAATTTTGTATATATACAATACCTTAAGTATATTAAAACCATAGTGTGAAATAAGAATACCTAACGCTCCCTTATTAGTTTCGTTTCGGAAGGAAACAGAATTTGAAAATAGGCAAAAGTATTTTTCCATACAGCCTCATAATTATCTGCGCTTGGCATGCCGTTTGCCAAGCGTGACGAGTATTGGTAACCCAAGTGCTCTTATTTAAATAAGAAATAGATGATAAACGAAACAGTCTCGCTACAGAGGCTCCGTTGTGGGTGTGGCGAGCACAGAACACTTCAGTTTCGGCCGGGGCTGCAGTTCTCTTGCCATGTTCTGCCAAGGGACAGCCTCAGCCGAGAATAACCTGGGAATTTTCTAGTGGTAAGTTTCTTAGTATGTGATGTGGTTCAAGTATTTTATTATTTTATGGAGCTTTAAAGAATTGCGTCCTTTTCATTATCTAATAGACATGTGTAAATGCAAGTAAAAAATTAAAACTTTTGCTTCACAAATAAAGTAAACAATTTATATAACTTTCTTAACAGTTAATTTTTATTTTAGTCGTTATTGGTAGCTTTTGCAGGAGTTTTGAGAACAAGACTTGTTTATTTTATTCTCGGTACTATTTCTTAATCCAAACACTTATATATTGACATTAATGCTTTACCCACAGACAGAGTAGTAAGCAATAGTTACGAATAATACGTAGAATAAATTTGGGGGTAATGCGACTTTTCCCTTTTAATTATTTAATAATTTCATTATCTGAATATTTAGAGTTGTTACGCCTAAGTATGACTCCCTTATGTATAACGTATTGGATTTTGTAGTGTAGTTAAAGTTTTTATACCGATTCAAATAGATGGCGAAAGCTGGCATCATATTCTATGGGGTCAGACCGAGGGTAGTGAAATCAGCAAAGGATCAATTCTCTCAGACGGTACAGTGTGGCTTCGGACGGCTACGCCAGAGCACGAGGGCTGGTACAGGTGTACTGCCAGGGTTCAACATTCCTTCTTACACCATGTTTTCTTTTTGGATGTTAGAGGTGTGTTTGATGGTTTAAGAAGTTTTCTACTTTGATATATTGTATAAATCTTCTGTGCCTGTATTTGTAATGAAAATCATATTAAACTGCTTGACCGATTTTGATGAACTTTTTGTGTGAGTTTAATGTGGATTCGGGAATGGTTTGAGTTTACAACTAAATGTTTTTTTATTTATCGATGACGTCTGTCAGGTCCGCTAGTATTTATATACAATAGTAAAAATATATAATACTAAATCTTTATATATACACAAATCGTCATTACGTTATGATTATTGACTCCTTTTACTATTGTTTTTTTTAACACACAGTTTCACTAAACAGAACCACCAAAGTTAAGCCGTGGGGGTGGGGCTGGTGAGAGTCAATGGGTGGTACGTGGTACTCCTGCGCGACTGACTTGTACCGTCAAAGGGGAACCGGAGATTCACGTGCACTGGACTCATGACTCGCACCCGCTTTCTCTACAGTAAGTAATACATATATATTTTATAAAAAAGTCGAATTTTAAATATTTTGTTAGGTTTTGCTGTGCGCTGGTGCGTTCTTCACATTACCATTAAATCTGAATTTAATATGTTTTAAAATCAATTGTTTTAGGATTTTGTTACCCAGTCGTAGAACTTTGTGTCTGTAAAACACAACATTTTCATCGAGATGATGTGGCAATTAACTTGATATAATTACCAACATCATAAAGTGACCAATTCTACGATCGGCCTTGACACAATCACCGTAATTAAATAATTCATATTAAATATATATAATTATATATGTCTATATATATCCTGGCAATGAGTTAAGTAGTTTTAGCGTTGGTTTCAGATATGACCTACTTCCTTCATTTACGTTAGTAACGGCCGAAGGTTTTAAACTCTAAGTGAGACACAGGTGCAGCCTGTAGGTTTATTAAGTGCGCTCTATTTGTAGATATATGTAGACATTTATCTACTTCATTTTGTATTTTATTGTTTATAAGCTAACAGGTTTCAGTACCTAATTTTGATCGATTATAAGGACAGAGACGCCAGATATCTTTAGGTATTTATTCTTCGTCCAAGGAATGAAAAAATGCGATGAACTGCCTGGGGTTTGAACGCAGGACGGGTTACAACGCTCTCGTTTGTCTGTTCGTTCGTACATTGATGAAATTTAAGCCCTTTAAGAATTAAGATTAGTAAGAGTTTGTTTGGGTAAAATAAAAATAAAATATGTTTATTATGGAATATTAGATACAGGTATCACTTATTCCGCGTCATTAAATTTGAATAAGTAGGCATTCCTACTCATCGGCAAAGAAGACAGAGGGTGTAGGCCGAGAGAAAAAGCCAGCGTAAAAACCTCTCGGTACTCTTTTAAAATAGCAAATCATCAAACAACACTTATTTTAAAACAAATATCGCAAATTAATAAGGGTGAACGCACTAATCAACTTGAACTATTATTGTGGTATATTATATGGTTGCATTTAGCTATATTTAACAACATACTACCAAAGTAATGCGAGTAAAACAGCAGATAAAAGCATAAGAAATGATGAGGGCCAAAACAAATTCTAGTTTAAAATTCGATCTACATCCTTACTGAACACTCGATCATGCTCCATTAATTTATTTTAATAAAACCTTTTTAGTGGTTCTGGAGGAGTAGAGATGCGAGATTTAGGTAACGGTGCAATGATGTCTGAAATTACGATCGCTCACGCTGAGCCGGAACACGCGGGAGATTACCGATGCCTCGCGAGGAACTTGTATGGCACAGATGAACTTGTCTTCAAGCTTTATGTGAAAGGTATTTAGATTATAGTCAGATAATTAGAAAATTATGCTTTTTGTAACCAATTTTTTTAGGTTTTCAAATTATTAATATTGTACTTAAGAAATCTGTGCTAATCTTAATATATATAAATTACGTGTCACGTTGTTTGTCCGCTATGGACTCCTAAACTACCGAACCGATTTCAATCATATTTTCACACCGTGTGCAACTTAAAAGATAGGATAGCTTACATCTCAATTTATACTCGCAATATTATTTTATTGCAAAATATTTGTTTATTATTTGATAGTCACAATTCTAACAGATAGTGCTGTGTTGAAAGTAGTACCAACGTTTCACATAAGCTACAATTTAATGGTGATCCCCATGACTGGTGTTCTCCTACCGTTTCCCTTGAATAGTTTACTACTATGTAATATAACAGAAACCTTAGCCACAGCAACGCTTGGCCGGTCTGCTAGTAGTTTATAAATATTTAGTAATGCACTGTATATATATATAAACACATTGTGTTTATAAGACAATTAAGTGTGTAATATACTTACATGATTATTAATATTGGGCTTACAACATCTAATTTTCAGTTTCTTATTATAGAATGAACTCTATATTAATATTGAAAATCTTATATTTTTTGGGATTTATAAAACAGACGGGTATGGTCATCTCTAACAAGTACTTACCTACAACTACTGACACGTCGATTTAGACCTATAAAAAATCATTATTGGCAATATTTTACTTTTATAGAACGACCAAATACTCCCGAAGAGGTTCGCATATCGGAAGTCTGGTCGCGTAAAGCCCGCGTAACATGGCGTGTAACACGACAAATCATTGTCTCACACTACTCGCTACAATATCGCTCCCTCGCCCGCGACCTAACAAACGCTCCGCTCAACGCTCTGCTACCCGCTCCATTACCCTCCCCCGAGACGTGGGACTCGCACGAAGTCCTCAACGTTACACTGGCTAATTCGGATTTGCTTCAAGTCGCGTAAGTTAGCTCAGGCTTATGAATATGATAATGCTTTGCAGATATTAACTTCGTCCTGTTAATTTATTTATGCTGACATTTTTGAGGCGACCATTTTTAAGACATTTGTAGGATGTTGGGTATTTTTGTGATATTTTACATACTAGTACGAAACTTTTCAGAGCAGTGTTGGCCTAGTGGCTTCAGCATGCGACTCTCATCAGTCGTAGGTTTGATCCCCGGTTGTGCACCAATGGACTTTCTGTCTATATGCATATTTAATATTCGATCGAACGGTGAAGGATAACATCATGAGGAAACCGGCTTGACCTTTAAACCCAAAAAGTCAACGGTATGTGTCAGATACAGGAGGCTGATCACCTACTTGCCTATCAGATTGATAAATGATTATGAAACATATTCAGAAATCTTAGGCCCTATAAAGGCCACTGATTTTTTTACGAAACTTTTCAGTTTCTATATTTTCATTAAAAAAATGTTTAATCAAGGTTTTTTAACAAGCCTCAAGGTCACTCAACGAAAGTGTCTACTGTAGCTTATGGATTCCCATGGCATTTAAAGAACGTTGGTGTAGAGTTGCGACAACGAGTTCTGTTTTTGTATTTGCAATGTGGATAATTTGCAACACTTAACACAGCAGAACATTGAATTTGTGAATAAACTTAACCGTACCCACTCAGGTCAGAAGGACCTAGTCGAGCAGGGGCATTAGTGTCCGGATTATATCCTGACACTCGCTACGTGCTACGAATAGCCGCCCATAACGATGTCGGTTCCTCCCCGTTCACATTAGCGCTACACTTCACTACGAGGGAGGAAGGTATGTACTACGGCGTAGCACTTCGTAGCCTCTACTCTGGTACATCTTATACTCGTAATAGCAGCGGATAAAAATCTGGTATGATTGAATTTTTTTTTTTTTAAGACAATTCACACCAATTGACCTAGTCCCATGCTAAGCTAGTGAAGCTTGTGTTATGGGTACTAGGCAACGGATATACATACATATTATAGATAGATAGACATATAAATACATATTTAAACACCCAAGACCTAAGTACAACACCAAATGCTCATCACATCGAAGTTCGTCTCAGCCGGGGATCGAACCCGGGACCCATGGATTCGCAGTCAGGTGTACTAAACACTAGACCAATGAGTCGTCATTGTTTGTTCAATTGTTTGCTCTTTTATAAATAGTTTATTTAGCTATACCTAAAGTTTATATCGTTTATGTTTAAATAACATTGTGAGTTATAAGCTGCGAAGGTTTGCTACCTTAGCGAGAAAGATGAGTTCTTAACGTTTATTATCAACTAAATAAATAGTCGTTGAATTCAACGCAAAATTGAATTAAAATAAAATAAAAGGCATTCAAAGTGCATCTAATTAGCAATAACTAAGAATTCTATCTGTAGTCATTCAAAGAAATATTAGCTGAATGAGTCTATTTAATACATAGACTTTTAAAAGCAGTTACAGTTAATGATATCAAAATAATCTTCCAAATTTATGAGAATATTTTTTTTCAGCTATGAGGAACATTTATAGCTTAGTCGCTGTTATAGTTTATTGTTCTTCAGTACAAAAGGCATAATTCAGAAAACTAAACTTAGTTGGTGAAATTAATATAAATGTTACATTCTGTGTTTATTATTACTCACTTATATTAACTATCCCTATTAATGTTGCGATTCATATAAATAATTAGAAACAATAAAACACTATTTTGACCGGATTGAAGTTATGTATTATTATAAATTTACAACTATTTAACATAATTTTAACGTTTTAACGTTTCGCGTGCTTTACAGCGTGCGTGGTCATGGTGACAATTAGAAACAATATTTACTAGAGGCTTTAACCCTTTAGTTCGCAGAACAAAAAATTCTCAAAATTCGTATTTTTTTCTATTTATACGCTTTATTTATGAGTTAAAACTATACAGAAAAATTACAAAAAAAATATAGAATGTGCCTATTTCGAGAAAACATATGTCGTTAAAATACGACACTGCGCATCCCTCTAAGATATAAATTGAATAATGTATGTCGTTGACAACCAACACTGCGGCATACTGTAGGAAATAAAGCAAAAAGATAAAACACGTTTTTTTTTAAATATATTTTAATGTTCGTTTAACAAACTTAAGGAATGTTACTCACTAACATGGTAATTATAAAAACAATTTCTTTTGGCTACCAAACACAGTCTAAGGTTACATTTGTTACAAAGGATACTTGAGTATCCCTTTTTACAGTACTTGCACCTCCCTTGAGCTACAAAAGTCGGCAGGTGCCCTAAATTGTCGAACCGGACGGCATCAGGTGGTCTTGGAGCAGAAGGAAGTTTTATTTTCACAGCTGCATCATTTTCCTGTACATCTTCCTGATGAATTCTGTTTTTCTGCAATAGTTCTGTCACTAAATCTATCCTAAATTCTTTTAGAGACTTTGTTTTTGTGTTTAGTCGATCTCTCCTATATTGCAGCCATGCATTATTAACACAAATATCCAGAGCCTGTGAAAATAAAGCCATGTACCATCTTTTTGTCTTAAAATTGGAGCGATACAAAGATATCAGCATGTCTGATAGATCCACCCCGCCCATGTGAGCGTTGTAATGCTTCACTATTTGTGGGCACTCTACATCAACTTTAGATTTAGTTTCCTTGCAATACCGCTTTATCTTTTCTTTTGGATGTGAATCAACATACGAACTTGCTAATGTCACTACTTTATTGTCAAACCACTTGACTACGGCAATTTTATTGGCATTGCACACAATCTGTTGATTTGCGCCTCTTCCTTTTTTTGCCAGTACCTTGTCTGATGACAAAATGGTTTGACATCCCCTCAAACGATTATTCTTTATCGTCCCTAAGCTAAACAGGCCATATTCGTTTCGTAAATGTTGAATAAGTTCTAGCGACGTAAAAAAATTATCAAAATAAACCGTTGAAGGCTTTTCTTTAATGGTCTTACAGAGTGCTATAACGACCTTAGCACCAAGACCCAAACTATTCTCATACTCTGTAAAACATCTCCCCCTGAAAGTATCCTCACCGCCGTAAGGGAGGAAATCATATATTAAGCCGGATACTCCTGCTCTTACAAAGATTTTAAAGCCCCATTTTTTGGCTTTTTTGGCAAATATTGGCGTCTACTTCCTGCTCTTGTGCCTTTGTAGGGCACCATCATTTCATCGACACTGTATTTTTTTTCTTCCTCAAGCTGTAAACAGTTATTGCGAACACATTCCAAAATTGGTCTAACTTTGAAATACCGGTCGTCATTTGTGTCTGTGTTGTCTACAAAATGAAGATATCGTCGTATTTTTTCATATTTTTTTAAAGTCATTATATTAGCCACAAGGGGATATCTCAACGCATTACTCCAATAGTCTCTGTAACTTGGCATTTGTACTACACCCATCAGCAAAGTTATGGCGATAAAATCTCTAATGTCATCAGTAGTAATGTTGATACTCCGGGCTGCTCCACTTTGAACTGAATACAAATTAGTGTTATCTGTAATTAACTTGAAAATATTTTCTGAAAAAAAGGCGTTAAAGTAATCTAAGGGTGACTTTACGGTTGCTTCGACTGGTGGTACATACGACGGTAATTCGATGATAGCTGAATGCTGAAATTTATTGCGTTTCCACTTAAATATTAAGGGTTTCCTTACAAACTTCTTTACTCATTTTGAGACAACTCTAGACACTGCGTTTGTCTTTCTTTTAGAACGAGTTGTTGCAGCCGGGGAATTAATAAGTGGAGATAGCACTGATGAAACTGAATTCAATAGAGGTAATTGCTCCTGTGGCCTACCACTGGGAAACATTTTGTTTATTACGGGTGACAATGGAACGGTTTCTTCATCTGACAATACTATTGGTGCATGAGGAGATGGTATGTTTTCTATGTCTTCGTCATCGGAAGTCAAAATATTCATACGGTCCAAGGAAGAGGGATAAGACTGTGGATCCGAACTGCAATAGGTTACATCATCATCATCATAATTTCTTTTTTGAAGGAGATTCTCATCGTCAGAGCCACTGCTATCCGACGACGGTGCCTTTTCTGGTGGTACTAGCGCCATTATAGCTCTCGTACGTTGCCATTTTGGTTTTATCTGGAGCAAACAAAATCAAACCATACCAAACTACACCCAAAGCAACGCAAAAAATAAACATGCTAAACCGTTCACCACACATAACCAATAATATAGCATACAAGGTTATATAATATAGTATACAAGGTTTAAAACATTCAAGAAACAAAAAAAACTTATTGCAGAGTATTACGCTAGTAAACGGGCAGTGTAGCTCGTGAACAACGTCTAAAACATCAAGTACCTTGCTGCATGTCTCGCAGTGTTGTTCACCAACAACACACCTATTTCGAATACTATAAAACGTTATTGAAAAGATAAAATAATCATATTAATACTTTAAAACATTTAGTAGGTATACTAGTTTATAAAATCAGTGTGACTTAATCATTTAAATCAGTTAATACTCACAAAAAAATATATATTTACCTTTAATCCGGACGTTGCAAACATTTGCGATGCCATCTTGCAAACGAATGTTAGAAAGAGCGCATAAAGTGACAGTTTGATATTTTTTTCAAATTGCGTTCTGTTTCACCTAAGCCGTGAACATGAATAATCATTAAAAATAAAAACGATACGTAAGTTTTTTTTTTTTGTTTACTATGTCGTTGAGCAACAACACTGCGAATTAAAGGGTTAATAACGGTAATTCCTTAGCTCCAGGAGGAGTGCCACGCGACATATCCTTGAGAGCTCTGCGCGCTCGAGAATTACATGCTACTTGGCAGGTAGGCTATATAGTAATTTATTGTTGTTTATTTTATCGTAAATATAAATATAATTACATGAAGTACCGTTATGTAATATTTAACCTTACTTACTATAAAAGTAAGGTTAAGAACGAAGAACTTTATAGAAAAGTTGGGCATCTTAAAGTCTTTTTATACGTAAATATATTTGAATTTAAATGTCTTTTCAATCTTTTCGTGACACCGAAATTAAATAAACGTCCAACTAACCAAGTTAATAGTCTAAAATTGTAAATACTTAACATTAGTTTAATTAAAATTAACATGTTATAATCTAAAATTATTTCTGTGTAAAAATTAGTCTTAATTAATTAAGCTAATTTCTTTTACGTAAGTCTATACGAGTATATAAGATAATGTATAGCAAGACGCAGTCCTAACCTATGAAATATGATTTTTTGTATTTATCAATTTTTAATTATTATTATTATTATGTAGGTTAAGAATATTGTCGGTTCTGTATCGTATGTTGGAAATAAATGTGTATTATTTATTCTTTTTGAGCCATAACAACGTCTAATATCGATTCAATCTATATTTACACATATATACGTTATATTTGTAAGTTTTGTACTAAACCATTATCATTAGTAGAAATATTAATAGTACACGCGTTTAAAATTATATTACAAGATTCGCCATACACAGACGCATTTTTGTATCAGAGTAAACTTTATTTGTGCTACAAATGTACACCTTGCTCTTTCATTTTAGCCACCACCGCGTGAATCATGGCACGGTACTTTACTTGGCTACACAGTTCGTTGGTGGGAGGCATCAGAAGAAGGCAAAGGTAGCGACAATGCCTCGGAGAGCGGAGCCAGTTCCGATGCCACAAGTACGACAATACGAGGTTTAAAACCAGCTACTCGGTATGCAGTTACGATCAGAGCGTATAATGCAGCTGGGAATGGTCCTTCATCACAACCTCATTATCGGCATACTTTGGAGTCACGTGAGTATTTGTAATGTTACGTAATTCCTGTGCTCAGCCTGGCGAGAATGTGCTTCACTTTGGCCACTGTTTGCAACTGTATAAAGCGCTAATTCGACTCCACATGGCATACTGTTCTCACTTCTGGGCGGGATCTCCCCAATGCCAGCTCCTTCCCGCCGCCTAAAGAGCTGTTCGAATCGTCGAAGACCAATCACTTTCCGAGCGGCTTGATCCCTTTGCGTTGCGAGGCTCTACCTCTCTGTATCACCTCAATGTCCGTCGTTTCACAACTAAACGTTATTTAAGGAACTATGTGGAACCAATACGTTTAAATCACCTTTTCCTTGTACTGTTACGAAAATATGCATATAACACCTTGCACTATACTATACAGTGAGTTAGTTTTATTTAAAAAAAATTGTCTGAGATTTATTTCATTATCTGGTTGGTTTGAGCCTTATTGGTTAATGTTAAACTTGGCATGAATTTTAGTAGCTGTAAGCCTGACATCTCTCAAGACAATTTCCGTTTGAACCAAGTCTAAGTGGAAAATCTAGTGAACTATCATGTACAAAGTAATTACGAAACTGTCCCGACCTTTGTAGATGTTCTCGTTATGAAACTATTCCCAGAATTATGTCATCTTCCATTCCGCTAACTTCCGATGTAAAATTAATAGATCTTTAGGTTATTTGGAATTTAATTTCTTAACAACTTAAGATTCTTATCATTTTTTAATTTAGTATTTTGAATATCGACTTTTGTTATTTTTAAATTATGACGATCCTTAAAAACACGTTTCAAGCGCGTTTAATTGTCACAATTTTGTAAGTATTGATTTTTGATTAAACTCTTATAAATTAGGTTTCCTTTATATCCAGGATGGTAACATCAAAATATATAATTCACATGGCTTAATTCGTTTCAATTTTTAAATTGATATTGATTTAAAACGCGATTCTCACATCATTGGAATAATTATTAGGCTTTTGTGGATACTGTAAAACTTCAATAAAATTTCTATAACAATCGTTTACTTAACTAAGAAAATAACAAGATTTTTTTTCAACACACTCAAATAGCCCCTATTGGAAGTCCAGAAGGCCTAACATGTGTATCGAGTGGTTCAACGTCGCTCCGCGTGTCCTGGCGCCCGCCCGCCCTAGACTCACAGGGCGGCCTCATCACTCACTACACTTTGCAATACACGCGCCGCGATGCTGATCCATTACTGCCGGTTCAAGATGCACATTTACGTGTTCAGGTATATTGAACTGAATCCAAAAAAGTTATTAGTTTGACTTGTATGTACGTGATAGTCTTGGAATTAGATAATTGAATGATTATTCAGGATTCCGAACATATGTGTAAAAACGCTAGTTTGTCTATATTTTTTTATATATTATATATCTTTTACAATTTATTATTACATATTTCATAGAAATACTACTAAAAAAATCATCGATCCTAATTTCTAGTCTAATTTATTAATAGGGAGAAGAAACAACTGTGTCTCGGCTTACACCATTCGCGGAATATGATCTAAGAGTCCGCGCACACAATGCTGCTGGAGATGGTCCATTATCCCCAGCACAGGTCTGCAGGACTGATGAAGATGGTTCGTTCATGACTTAATGATATATATCATTAGTCACTTGATTTTGATAGAAATATGATTTCGGCCACCTGTTTTTTTTATTTGGATCACAAAATTAGAACAAACACATGATAATATAAATAAAAAGCGGTGCCGTCCCTAAAACATGTGGACACGACCAGCGAAATCAAGTAAATACAATAAACAGTGTTAATACAAACAACCATAAAATTAGAATTTTAATACATTTAAAGAAAAAACTTTTTAACCGGATTAAAGTTATGTATTATTATAAATTTACAATTATTTAACATAATTTTAAATTTATCCGACGTTTCGCGTGCTTTACAGCGTGCGTGGTCACGGTGACTGAAGACAAAAGGTGTTGGATGTCAAAAAGTATCACAGCTGTAGAGAAAGTAGCATTATCTGTATTTATTTCCCCGGAGTTGGTTGTTGGTATCGACTAAAAGATGGAGGATTCCATCTTTTAGTCGATACCAACAACATCCAACACCTTTTGTCTTCAGTCACAGTGACCACGCACGCTGTAAAGCACGCGAAACGTCGGATAAATTTAAAATTATGTTACATAATTGTAAATTTATAATAATACATAACTTTAATCCGGTTAAAATGTTTTTTCTTTAAATGTGTAAAGGTTATGTCAATCTAAGACAATACTATATTTTAATACATTATAAAACTCTATTCGGTAAATATACAAGGCTCATAGCTCAAACGAAAATAATTAAAATGCCAGTAAAATGTATTCGTATATGAGAACCTCAAAGATAGGCTAAAAGTTAAATATTCGCTTCAAGTTACTTTAATTTATTTTCTTTATACAATAATTCGATAGTTGAGACGGAAGTTTCCCAGTTTAAATATTGATTTCGTATTATATTGAACTTTAAGAAATTGCACTTTTTTTATAGAATTTAACATGAGTTACGGTAAATTAGATATATTTTGAATAGTACCAAGTGCTCCAAGTGGTATCAAACTGATAGCCCTCAGCGAGAGATCCCTTCGCGCGTCTTGGCTTCCGCCAGTGGAACCCAATGGCAGATTGACCCACTACTCACTTTATGTCAAAGATCTATCCGGGTAAGAAATTTTTGTTTAGCTTCCAATAAATGTTACAATATCTGTAGGGATTAGAATATTTAAGGAAGAAAAGATACCATAAATATATATTTTCTGTATGGCAACATCTTTCGTCTAGCCTCTTGGACTTACATATTAGCGAAGCATGACTTCTCAGATGTAACATAAAATAAATTTTATCCTTATTGCGTAACAGATATGTGTTAAATTTGTTCAATAATATTTCCACATATTTTATTTGTAAATCAAGCATGTTTTTCGCGCCGCAGTCTATTGCCTTCTGAACAATCGTAGAAATGAACCTTTAAATAAATATTAAAATCAGTAGCTCTATCACGAGCTTGACTAGTATTACATATTTGTATGAAAAATTGGTTAAGCGTAGAACAGGCATTTTCATGAAAATATTTAACGAAAGCGTACACGTTTGCCAAACCCATAGTCAACATAGTTACAAAACAGATTTCATTTCATTTGGTATTATCTAGTTCACACGAGGCAAACGTGACCCGTGTCAACTCGTGCACTGAGAGTGAAGGGTCAACAGTGGAGTGTATGAAGACCCTAAGAGGTCTACGTTCAGGGAGGACATATGAGGCCTGGGTGAGAGCGTCTACTGGAGCGGGAGAGGGACCAACCTCCACTGTCGTAGAGTGTCAGACAACTGCTTTAGGTGAAAAATTTGCATTTCCTATCGTACAATGCGAAATATGTGTTTAATTTACGCGATTAAGGTATAATTTATCTTTGTTGTGAATAACTTTTCATAATATTTAGTATAACGAATCCAAGTGCGATCTAATGCTTATTTATCAAATTATTGATGAATTATGAAGTACCAAATAAAAGTAAAAATATTATTTATGAATGTAGTAACTCAATGTATACTTATCAGTTAAAACACTATGCTTCTTAATTTATATTTACTAACAGTTCTTAAATCAAGGGCGTAGAATCCGTTCCGAGAAGAACTGAAATAAACTCTCCAACACTCGTTTGAATTGCCAAGTCCTTCTTTTACCGGTTTTTTTTACCGGCTGAGTTTTTTTTAAATTCTAACTGCAAGCAATTTTCTACGTATATCTGGAATTACCTTGTATTAATGTCTACTGCTATATAAGGACTATAAATAGCCAACCTCTTGTTAAAACTGCTTTGTTTGTTTTGCTTACCTTCAGAAGAAATGTTATTGAGGACATACTCCTAAATTACTATTTTACACTATATGAATTATATATTTAATTATTAATTCCCTTGCTATAGCTCCTGCTCGAATCTCCTCTTTCGGTGGAGTAGCAGTGGAGTCAGCAGGCAATTCCCTTTCACTACGTTGTGTAGTGGGAGGAGTCCCTCCTCCATCCAAGCGATGGCTCCGAGGAGGAAATCCTCTGCATATAAGGTCTCCATTCCAATTGGATGGCGATGCTTTGATGATACGGAGTAAGTAGACTAATCCTTTTAAGATATCTGTAGGCAAAACATTTAAAATAGTTTTTTTTTCTTTTTAGGAGATTTAAGTGTTTTATCTTCTAATTTCAGCGTCAGTGCACATTTGTAATGATATACTATCGTTGTAAAATCGAATGTATCGTTTTGAAGTCAAAAACTCTTTTTGGTCACTTCAAAAAATCAGAAGAAGGTTGTAGACCTTTTAGGCCTGGGCCTCAGAGTTGTGTATCTGTTTCGTGATCATTTGTATTTTTTAATAGGCAAGTATGCGATCGGCCTTCTGTGCCTGACTTGCAGTGACACCGTGTGTCTTCAAGAGTTCGTCTTTATTTCAGATTTATTTTACTTCAATTATAATATTATAATTTCTACTAAAAAAATCACGCATAACATTTAAAAAAATATATAATTTTAGACTTAGAACTGGTCCACGCGGATAATTACACCTGCGTAGCTGAGAATCCTCATGGATCAGACTCGGTGACTTGGCGGGTCTTTGTCCTACGATCCCCCTCCCCACCTTCATTGGCACTCATTGAAGCTAGGTCTAGGGAACTAGAACTGGAGCTTAGGGCTTCTCCGAGGATCCCAGGTCACGCCATTCCAAAAGAGTATACTCTACATTGGAGACTTGCAGAACCTGAGGTATTGTATTAGTTGTTTATTAGTAAAAAATATAATAATATATTTTAATTTAAAAATAAATTTACAATGTATTTTAACTATGTAATATTTATATTAGTTACAGACGTAGGCTAAAAGAAAAGGTAAAATAAATCGCTGTTATTTTCTTTAAATACCTATTACATTATTAAATGTTACTAATGTTCGTGATTTTCAAAATATTGAAACACATTTTTTTCTAAATAGATCCAGTGTGCGCTGAATCTGTATTCTATCGTTCTTAGTTATCGCTTATGTGTAGAAATAGTTGCACAATAATTATAAGATAAAAAAAATACATTTATTTTATTTTAAATAATAATAACGAACACATAATGTATTTAGAATATAGTGGCAGAAAACCCCCAAAATTGGTATATTTTATCTCTGAGTTGGATTTGCATAAAGGCGAGGGCTTGAATGTTTTTGTAATTCTATCCTAACCAGACACATGCAGATTATAATTTAATACAAATAATCGCCAGCTCAAATATTTCTTAACCATATATTGTAAGATATCTTTTTTATTGCTTTTATTTATGGGTTAGTCATTATATAAAGACAAGCTATGATATATAAGCACATTTATATGCTTAAAGTACTTGCGAATGAAGAGAGACTCCTTTCCTTAGCTGCTTTATGGTTTCCAAACAGAAGACAATGCTTTTAGGGTGAATGGCGAGTACAATCGGCTAACCCTGGTCCAGCGATACTCACCGGCCTTCGCTGTGGCTCAGCGTATCGTGCATATGGGTCTGCCGGTGGTGCTCCTGGTACTGAAATATCGGTTAGGACATCTGGGGGTCCACCAATGGCCCCACCGGATAATCGCTGGATAAGGTCTAATACCACTCACGCGATGTTCGACACAACTATGTGGTCCGATGGAGGGTGTGGTCCCGTAGCATTGAAGCTTGAATGGGCCGGGTCGGGCGTGGCTGGAGCAAGGGATGTACCGGTTGCTGGTGAAGTTATATTGGGAGGTGAGTAATAATTATTAACATAGATGGAAATAATTATTTGCATGGACCTCATTTATAAGAACAAGACACGTTTATTTTTGAAATTACAACATTGTGCCTGTAATAATAATTTATCTACTATTTAAAATTCTCGTGTCACAATGTTCGTTCCCATACTCCGAAACGGCTCCACCGATTGTTATAAAAATATTTATGCATAATTAGTGAGAATCGGCTTCTATCTATCTTTCAAACCCCTTAGTGATAAGGGATAGCCACCCCAATTTTTTTTATTTTTTTTTATTTTTTATGATAGGTACAGCATACAAAAATACAACCCTTAATTATCACCCCTCTACGATCAACCCCTATTGTTTTATATTGTAGATTGTAGATATTTTTATTGAACTAAAAAAAATTTACCTACAAATAATATACGTATGGCAAAACAAACGTTTGTCGGATCAGCTAGTACAATATATTATATTGCGATTCGATAACAAAGACAATATGCTGTAGAATTATAATTTAAGCATTCCGTACTTATAACTATTATGGTTTTTATTTATAACTATAAAAAATATTACTATATCGCAAAAACAAATTGTTTAACGAAATAGTACTAAAACAATTAAGGTCATTTTGAAAAGGTTTAATACCTGGATCGAGATATCGTGTCGCAGTCCGTGCTTCAAATGAAGCTGGTTGGACGCGGGAAGTCTACGAATTCTCTACGGACCCACCGGAAGGAGGTTTTGCGGAGGAAGTGGATGCGCCTTTCCCCGCCACGGCTGGAGAGTTAGCCTTGTTGCTCGCTCTGTGTGCTGCGCTTTCCATTGCGGCTCTTACAATACTTGCTATCTTGCTCAGACGGACGAGGTAAATATATTTTATATAAGTCAGAGACATATCGTCACATAGATATTGTCATCGTCATTAGCGGGTTTATTGGGCGTTATTTCGGTAAAGTGCGAGCACAAAAGACACGAATAATTATTGTACAATATACAAATATATACTAATTCCTTCTGAGGGTGCGTCCACATCTGGCGAATGTGCCGCGAATGTGCAGCTCTGAATGAGCGCGCGGGCGGCGCAGATGCAAACTCAGCACTTGGATTTTTAACAACTCTTTGTATTATAATGCCAAAATGATGGGCGGTTAACCGATTCTCAAATAATTTAATACATTAACAAAAGTATGATCATGAGCTGAAGCATTTGCTCAGTTAGCTCACAAAGCGTGAACAAACATCAAACCATACCTCTTACTAAGGACAACAATTATATAAGTATAGATTATATTCTAACAAATATATAATGTCTCAATTGCAATGGTAAAACATTAACATAAACATAAGGGTATGTAATGCATAGCAGTGTTGGCCTAGTGCCTTCAGCGTGCGACTCTCATCCATGCTCGTAGCTTCGATCCCCGGCTGTGCACCAATGTACTTTCTGTCTATGTGCGCATTTAATGTTCGCTCGAACGGTGAAGGAAAACATCGTGAGGAAACCGGTTTGCCTTAGACCAAAAGGCAAAAACGTCGACGGCGTGTGTCAGGTGTGTCAGGCTGATCACCAACTTCCCTGTTAGATTGATAAATGATCATGAAACAGATACAGAAATCTGAGGCCCAGACCTAAAAAAGTGGTAGCGCCAGTTACTTATTTTATTTTATAATGCTTAAGCTTCATTATAAATGTATAAAAAATTCAGTAAAAAGTTGCGACGTATAACGTTCTATACCTACATAGTAAAAAAATCTTGAATCACTTAAGCCGAGTTGGCACATTTAAATAGAATCTGCAAATGACGAGGAGCTGACACAGGATCCTCTTACTCTGATTTCGTTGACCCATCTCACCTTTCTCATTTTTTCCCGCTGACGATTAATATCGAACTACTTGCAAGATTAATATTAAAATATAGTATAGCAAAACCATAAAGATTCATTACTTATTCAAATGAATGTAAAATAAAATGTTCTAATTGAAATCAAAAACTTTATTAACCGTTTGATAAGTTTTCTTTCATCTTCATAAAATAAATATGTTAATTTGTGTTCATTGTTTAATACGTAATACTGGCCTTTATACAAATCATTATTAAACAATATTTACAAAACATAATCACACCTACCAGCGAGAAAATACTGCCAGCATTAAAGGTACACCGCCATAGGGACCAAATTGTTAACATTTATTTTAGTTTTATCTTTGTATAAAAAATTCAATAGAAAATTGTCCTTGTATATATTTAGGAATAAATAAAATAAGAAAAGAATACACTATCTTGTGGTAATCTCGGTCATCCTTCACGGTAATATTTCGAAAATTTTATCCTAAAGACTTGCCATTTCGTAGAACCGATGGCGCAATGCCTCGAGTGACAAGTGCCGACAAGGCACCCTGCGGCACTTACAGGCCGCCACACTCGACGCCCAAGCTGCCTCCCGATCCACCAGGTAACATATTCAATAATATAATATTTTGTAACGGGAGCTTTATTTTCTAAACAAAGTACTATATTCTTTGGAAATAATAGTAAGTTCATAGTTCCGAAATAAATACATTTTATAAATTTAATAATAGACAATATATTGATAATAAATTAAGTTTATTCAATTTTTAATATTGCCTATACATCATTTCCACATCTCTAACTGATATTTTGTAGGTTACACGTTCCATCTAATGTATATATACGTAAGTTTTAGATAGAAATATATGATAATAATGATATCAAACTATGAAACTATGTATTTTAGTTGTAATTCAAACGTCAAGAAACATTCAACCATAAGTATTATAATGGCACGACTGTCTACTCTTAGATCGTGCGTTTGAATCACGGCTTTTCACTTATGCCTTTGTGCGTAATAAAGAAATATAAAGCGAGGAAACTGACACGCCTTAAACCCAAAAATAATCACCTGATTGCCTATTAAACTAGAAAAATTCTCATGAAACATTTCTTATAAATTTACCAAAAGCCACATTGTCATTGTTGTTGTTTATTTCATTAAACTGCGTTATTAGTATTCCTTATTTAAAAGTCGCCTTGAATTATACAGACGTATACGAGATTAGCCCGTACGCGACCTTTGCGGGTGGGGAAGGTATCGGTCCGGGTTCTAGGGCATACACGCTTCAGCTTCGAGCGTTGGCTCGTCATGATGATGAAGCCACACCTCCACCGCATCACAGTGCTGATGGTAAGAGTGATGGATTTTGGTTAAATCGTATCCATGTAATCGTAATATTTCACTTAATCGTTCATTAATATGTAGTCATAGTTAGTTTTGTAGTATTAGAAAAGGTACGTTGATACGACAATATTGTTTCTGTCATTGACTTTTGCAAGATTGCGTACATTTTCCTTACATGACAATAGTTTATTGCACAAATAAGTTTGCATAGGATTTCCACACAAAAACTTATTAAATCACATTTATTATTTCATTTTATTTGGTACTCGTGTCAGGAAATAATTGATACTTTAAATTGAACTTTTATTCAATAACTGACTCAAAAACAATTGACACCCTAAAAGTCTAGAATAAATAAAAAGTGGATTTATTACTTTCAGAAGAAACGTGTTTGGACGCATATGAAGCACAACGGAGGCGCAGGCGCAGACGACATTATTGCCCCGATCATGGTATAATGTTTGTTATGTGATTGTTTAAAAACCCCCCCATTATCTTTTCTTCAATTTTTGGTTTGATTCGTATTTTTTACCGCCAATACTATACTTTACACAAGTCGCAACAGAACTTTATCTAGCGCTATTTCAATGATTTTCTACGTAGCTTTAAAGCACGTTCAGTTTGACATGTTGGTTTTTTTTTTATTAAGCTAGTTACATTAAGAGCAAATAAATTCAGGTAACCTAAATGATTACGTAGGCTACGCCAGACCATATCGCTAACAAACGATCTCTTCGAAACAACAGGGAAAAAAGCATTACAATTTTAGTATTTTTTATTTAAGAAACGCAATCGGGCTGGAGGCTCTCCTGATGTTAAGTGATGATGACACTCGCATTGCCAGAGGGCTCGCAATTTCCGGGCGGATTTTTAGGAAGGACGCCCTTTTCTTGAAGGACCCTAAGTTGAATTGGTTCGGAAATACTTATAAAACTTTTTTTTGTTGTTTAGTGTCAGCTTGAGCGTCCGCCTCATTGCCTTGAGGCTATGCTTTCGAATCACGGACACCAATGGATTTTTCTTTCTACGTGCGCATTTAACACACGCTCATACTTTGGTGAAGACAAACATAGACCTACGTGTGTCAGGCATAGAAGGCTGATCACCTACTTGCCTATTTGTAAAAAAACCTGTGTGTACTTATGTACACGCGTTAGAAGTTATACTTCTTTGGCGTAATAATTTTCTTCGAGCACTTTAGAGGGACGTTTCCCTCTTCGAATTGCATTTTTCTTGTCCATTTTAATGGTCACTTCTAATCGAAACGATATAATATGTAGTAATTATGATATTTCCAATAAACACTATGTTTTTTATCACATTGGAACGGGTTTTCTCGTATAGAAATCATTATTTTGGTTTAAATAAACACGACTCTGGAAAACACTACGCCATGAAGGACAATGCAACTTGTCGATAAAACAGAGCAAGCGCCAACTAGTGGCCCGGACTGTTTTACCGACGTTTGAACATATATTCAGGGTGTCGGATTTTTGTGACGGTGTGCGCGGGCATCGTAAAAATTACTCTCATAACTTTTCCCTAACGCACCAAAAAAAAAAGAAGTACCTATAACTTCAAAACAAATGATCATAGAACAGATACAGAAATCTGAGTCCTAAACGGTTGAAGCACAAATGGATTTGCTGTATTTCAAAGCATTCAGCCGTGGGGCCTAGACATTAAAATTAATATGGAAATTATATTTTTATTAATATTATTTTTTGTTCGCAGGTTGTTCACAAGACTCGGGAAGTTGAGGAAGTGCACTGCCGTTAAATTAGTGAAACTAGTCATCTTAGCGAATTCTGTTATTAATCTATACAATTTTTTTACAATTATAATATTTATTTATATTAATCGTTGTTTTATTTCCACTTGATAACATATAAGACAGGTTCCCTAACATGTAATTAAAGAAATAGATTGACCATTTAACATAGATGGCATTAGCATACTTGGCTGACACGGAAGTAGACGACAAGGAAAGAGGAGACCTATGTCAAAGGACAGCCTGACGAAAAATAACTGTATTTTTAGTGAATAATAATATATTTTACGAAATTCCACCCGTATCACCTCGACGTCCGCCGTTCCACAACTGAGCGTTTTTCATGGCAGTTTTTGCCGCGCACCACCACTATGTGGAATCAGCTGCCCACTGAAGTATTTCCGAACCAATTCGACTTAGAGTCCTTCAAGAAATATACTCGTATAATTGTCTTCGTGAATTGCCATTCATCGTTAAATTAGCTTAGCTTACCTGGGCTGATACCAGCTTTGTAGAATCACAGGTAAAACTTACCTTTGTAAAGCGTTATGATTGGTAAAGAACTAAATATTTAGTATGCTGAAAACCTACTATTTCATTATTAATAATAATATTTTATTTAAAAATTGATTTTTATGAAAGTAGCGTCCTTCACTGAGTCCGATGTTCTGTGCTATAATTTATGTTCTGTCAAGAATCAAACCCAAAAACGTCACGATTACTAAAGATGAGTACGGTAGGGACAAACGTCATGTTAATATTATTTTATACTTTCTGTAATTATTGTCCTCAACAACAGGATTTTCTCTATATAAACAATTACAAGTCGAATTGTAAACCTCCTCTTTCGGTTTTTTCATGTCGTTTAAAAAAACGAAGTAAATATAGGCATTGTGAGTTCCTAGTTTGTGTAACTATGAGTAAATATTTCAGAAATAATAAACAAAACACAAGTAAGTAAATATCGATGAGATAATATTTTTTTTCGTTTCGATAGAGCGGCATCTGGTGGATTAATTATATAAACAGTTTCGGCTACCACGTCATTTTTGCTCACCTAAATATTGATAAGTTATTTTTTACTTTCGTTAATAACGCCATCTGTCGATTTTATAGGCGCTTCACTAATTATTAATATCAATAAATAATTAATAATAATTAATATCACTCCATCTTTCCCTGTCAGGGAAAGATGGAGTGATATTATAACCTAATATGATCTAATATAAAATAGGTAATATCATCTATATTTATTTTCACCTATACATAAGTCTATTAAAAAAAGGAATGAAAATTTTGTTGACAAAACTTAAAAGATTAACTAACAGAATATATGTATATATTTTTTTTTAATAAATTGACAATCGCTTGGCGACAGACGTTTGACGATAATTTGGCGCGAACGTCACAATTCATAGTTATTGTTTACTAGCTTTTGATATTAAAAAGTTGCCTTTAGATTGGAATTCGTAAATCATTATTGTTTCTAACATTGTTTTATTAATATTCCACTTAATAATGCCAAATTAATATAACCATACAATTTTATATGAAAATGATTCGTCGGGTAAGTGATGAATATTTTAATATTTTAGTTTTGTCAAAATGAAAGTTACAATTTGATAAATATTTTTCTAGTTAAAATTACCGTTTAATCGAAGTTGGGTAACATGTCCACTTGCTATGAACACTCTTTTATCCCAAATAGAATGTGGTGGTGGGGCCGAGAAGTGCTCAGAGGTAGGTACACGCTTCTTGTTAAATGCATCTTTACAAACTAGATACTTATAATAATTATCATTGGTGTATTATATGTTTAATTATTTATTTACTCTCAAAGGATTTGCTTGCTTTACCTTGAAAAGTAACTTATTTTATATTTATATTAACTCCATAATGATATTTCATAACGGATACAGTATAGTTTTATTTTAATAGGCTTTTAAACATATGGTTTTTTTAGATAACCACACAATTGAAGAATGCAGAGGGATTAAATTTTCACAGCAGAATTTTTGTGTCGCCTGACTCTACATTAGTATCACAAAATGAAAGTACTGTTGTTGATTTTAGTCAATCTAACGGGCAGACTATTATTTCTGATTGGGTAATGCTTTGAATTTGAGCCTAATTTCGTTAAATAAAGTAATTTTCGGTAGCTGTTCGGCCACGACAGCCTATTTCTATGGATACGTGCTATGTACGCAGGAGGTTCACACATGCTATTCCATAACTCTGATAATATGATGGGAGGAATGTCCGACACCATCGCCGTATTAAAAGTGCAGACGCAAAATCTTAATGACTTTTTAATCGTCGGCCCCGCTTGGATTTTACTTTAGATCTCATGAATTGCGCTCAAACATTCTAAACAAATGAGGAAGTTGAATAGATTGATTTAATCGGTGCCCTTTTTCTAGCTCAACAAATACGGTTTTAATAACACCAATATGTGCAAATATCTTCCGAGAACGACGGATTATGCACTAGTTAATGTTGCTGAGTTACAGGTAATATTTATTTTCATACAAAAGCACTGCTTTTGGACGAGAATACAACTTTACAATTATTCATATAAAATACCCAGCGGCGTTACCCCTTGGTCTTGGCCTCAGATTTTTATATCTGCTTCGTGATTATTTGTTATTTCTAGTAGGTGATCAGCCTTCTGTTATACACGCAATCGACTTTTTAGGTCTAAGGCATGTCGGTTTCCCCACGATGCTTTCCTTCACTGTACTAGCAATTATTAAATGCCCACAAAGAAAGTCGGTTGTTGAAGAGAGAATTTCGACAACAGAGCGTTATTTAAGGCAGTTTTGGCCGCGTAACACCACTATGTGGAACCAGCTACCCACTAAAGTATTTCCGAACCTATTCGACTTAGGGTCCTTTAAGAAAAAAGCGTGCCAATTCTTAAATGGTCGGCCGGCCCTTGCGAGCTTTCTGGCATTGAGTATCCAATGGTGGCGGTATTACTTAACATCATGTAACATGGTGTAATGGTTGCAGCTCCTTACAAACGTGTAAAACAAAAAACTTGGCGATTAAAAAGAATGGCGGAGAGTTTATTGCCAGTTCTTCTCTTCCGTTCTACGCCTTTGAGAACTAGCAGTAAATGTAAAATTAGAAGCTTTTAATGTATATTTCTTTTTTGACGTTCATAAGTGTACATTGTGTTACATACATGAATAAATGATTTTTGACTTGACTTGTCATCCGGTGAGCCGTTCTATATAAAAAAAACAGTTCATTGGTATAATGTTCTAACCTACATCAGGGATGAGAGTCGCCCTCTAAGCCAACACTGCTTTTTTTTCAGATGCCGTGGTTTAAATCAAAAGGGTCTAATCCAGTTATGACAGTATATAATAGTTATAGCTATACGGAAGATATAAAATATGAGGCTAGGGTAATATTTTATGTTTTTTTAATAGCCGTGACTGCCCCTGAATGGTTTTAGAGTTTGAACACATAAGAAAATTCCTATGAAAAAACCTTTAAAACAAATATGAATAAGATTATTTATAAATAATAATTATTATTAATAAGTTTTGTAAATTATTAACTTATTAGACGTTTCGAATGCTTTAGATCAGTCAAAAATATAAAATTAAGTGAGTATATTTAAAGGGCCGGTTACACACTTGCCAGCCTATTGGCATTTTGATTGCCATCCATGGAATCCAATCATGCTAAACATTACAATATTATATTATAAATTGTTAAATGAAAAATTCAATTCTCTAGTTACTCAAGCTTCCATTGGATTATGGAAGTTTTAAACTGGTGATTCTTGTACCAACTGAAAAAGGCACGGTTTGCGGTCTGTTCCAAAGACTGGTTGAAAATGGTGTTAGCTCTGCACTCCAGTCCATTCAACCACTGTTTACCGTAATATCTGATTTGAAATCTCCAAACATTAATTTTTATGAAGAAAATGAATTTATGTTAGAGGTGTGTTTATTTGTTTATTCTCATAAAATAATGATAATTTTACGCTTTCGTATCACAAATGTGAAAGAAAATACAGTTACTTATTACAAAAATTACAGTCCGACTCGCTGTGTATATGTTACAGTTAACACTAGTTTTAAGTTAAAACTCGTTTTCCCTAGTTAAAAATAGTTTTTACTAAATGCCTTTGTCAAAACTAGAAATAACAAGTGAAAACTAGAATTTACCACTGATACAATTAATTTTCTGATAAAACTAGTTGTCACTCCGAGCTTTAGTTACAACTAGCACTAAAGAAACTAATTTGAATTTTGGGATTGAAAACAAGATAAAGTTTTAATAATATTTATTAAAAAGATCTAGGGTATAGAAACATTACTATGTATATGGAATGCTCGACAAATTATATTGCAGGTATGTACCTACCTATGTGTTGCTTAATTGTTTTATCATATAATTATATTGCCTTTAGGTAAAAGCTAACTATTTAAATATTGCTTTTCAGGTCAGAATTCGACAAGTGCAAAGAAAAATTTTTGCATGAAGAAGACGTTCCGAATACAAATTTACCTTTGAGAACTGTTGCTAAGGAAGCATCCATAGGAACAGGCCAGGGATTTATGCGCTGCGTATGTAAGAAAGGATGTATGTCAAAAAGGTGTCTCTGCAAGAAAAATGGCTACCTTTGTAATTCAAAATGCCACAATAGTTTGTCTTGCAATAACAAGTAGATCGTCATCTTTTTTAATTTTAAGGTTGTTTGATTATTTTTTTATTGTATGTTTACCAATATCCCTTAAAAATATTATTATAATGTTCCTTTTTTAAATTTTATGGTTGTATTCTGTTGATTTGTTTGATTATTTTATTTACTTTTAATTAATGTTGTCACCTTGGCAACTACTTTATGCTGATATTCCCTAAAATGTTCCTTTAGTGTAAGTTTTTTTACTAGGTACGGTACTATGTTTCTATACCCTAGATCTTTTTAATAAATATTTTTAAAACTTTATCTTGTTTTCAATCCCAAAATTCAAATTAGTTTCTCTAGTGCTAGTTGTAACTAAAGCTCGGAGTGATAACTAGTTTTATCAGAAAATGAATTATATCAGTGGTAAATTCTAGTTTTCACTTGTTATTTCTAGTTTTGACAAAGGCATTTAGTAAAAACTATTTTTAACTAGGGAAAACGAGTTTTAACTAAAAACTAGTGTTAACTGTAACATATATATGAAAAGCCCACAATAGGCCAAATGTGATTTTACCTTTAAATAAAAAACCAGCAAGTTTACCACGTACTTCAATATAGATTCGGATTTTAATATAGAGGTTTTATGCCAGGTAGAAGTTTGATATCAGCGCTACGGAACTTGAAAGATTGAGTTTTGTATTTTATCGTTAAATAGCGAATTTTATTATTCGTAAGTTTTAATTATTCAACTATAATATATAAATGTTTGTAGAAAAGTGAGAAAGAGGAGCCATGCCAAGGACTAAGTATAGGTAGTGTCAATATACATGACGAAGGAGTTCTATTAAAATGTCTAACATGTATGTAAACTACTAAACATTGCATTACTATACTAAACATTGGGATGTTAAGACAGATGGTTTAGCTTTAAAAGAAAATATTCATTGGACATGTCACTAACCATACCAAATGTTGGTAGATAAAATTACGATTTCCATTTCGTCATACAAAAATTCCTGCACACCAAAGCCCTAACTCTGTAACTTCTAATAGCGATCCTGATTAGAATCAGTATTTGTTACTTACGATGCCATGGTTTCGATATCAGCACTACGGATATTGAGAGAGCTACATTAAAGTTGCATGGAAAAAAGTCTCCAAGTTAAAGCTAAATAAGGATCGTTATTATACGTGCAGTACGGGCGTGGTATGGATCATGTTTTCTTGTGCGTCCATTGTAATGTGACGTAATTGCTTCATTAATAAATACGTATATTGAATAAGTTAATTTAAAAAGAGTTTATTAAATTGAATTGTTTTAGGTATACATTCCCAAGGCAGCAGCCAACCCGATACTCAGTCATGTGCTAGTTTTGCACACACACAAAGATTTTTATTCACAATCATGTATAACGATTTCGCAATGTTTACTGGACAGTATGTGTCTCATTAAAATTACTCTTTTAAATTTGTATTTAATTCAAACAACTATACTTTTTTTCCCTTCTGAGAAGGTATATTCAAGAAACGGGTAAATAATTGTTGGACATTGCAGTTTTTAATAGTAATTTTCATATTTTACGATAGCCTTAATTTCGTTACCTCTTCAAAAGGTAGATACTGAATATTTGTGTATAGGCGAATAAATGTTTTTATCTGGACCCATAAAATACCAGATTATATAGGAATCTAAGTTTCTGTGGTAATTTAAAAAAACAAAATATATTTTAAAGTAATCGTTTATTGAAATGATTATTCCCAATTCAATACAACATTGAGGGATGGCCAGTGTCTACGTTTCACGTAAAACACAAAGATCGTGATACAAAAATGAAATGATACATGACATGACACCGGTCTGCGCTCAATGGTGACTCCTCAAGGCACTTAAGGTTTTGTTTGCTTTATTTTTAATGGCAAGTCGAAACTTTCAAGAAAAGCTCAGGCTACAGAAATGAAGGTAAGCAGAAACACAGACCGGCCAAGGCTACAAATTATTGCTTATCTGTCTTCAACTGAATTTTTACAACTAGCAACCGTTATCGGACCAAAATCTAGAATATATCTATGCAAATCCTTTAAAATCAGTCTGATCTAGTTATGGAACTTTGTTTATGCACAATAACAATTGCAATTATCTATGTGGATCAATTTTGACACAGAACAGGGTCAGCCGAAAATAAATATTGGCAAGTAAAATTGCTAGGAAAATAAATCTGCACAACCCGCTTACACCACAAAAAGTACAAAAGTCCCCCGAACTTATTACCTAACATTTCACTAATCTGAACGCTATCCGAACCTCAAGTAGCATTAAATATTACGCTTCTATAAATGCACTTCTTGTTACAATTTACAATTTTAATTACAACGGTTCAGTGTTTGTCAAAAAAAATAATACTCGACAATACTGAAATTGCGGCTTATTCTGCGAGTCACTTACATAAATATCTCTTTGGTGCTGTCATTTCCAGTTTATTGGACGCCATCTTGCGCAAACTAAACGCGCCAAACGTACGCCATTTTTAAATATACCTAACATGTCCAACGAGCTATCTTAATTAATATTTACATTTAAACTATTTACAAAATGGAATCATTGAGATCATTACAATGTTATCTACGATATTCTACGAGGTATGTCTAACGTTAAATAAAATAATACTTGGAAATAGACTGGTTCGGTACGCGACCGTACGGAACCGTACATTCGAGTTGAAACGGCGCAATGGATAAATAAAACATTGTATGATAAAAGAAAATCAACGGACGTACCGTATGACGTCACACGTTCTATTGCACATTGACCGCAATGTATATAAAAATAAAAGTGCTATTCGCCTATCAACCGAATCTTTCTTTAACGAGGAACATTAGTTTCTTCTTGCCTTTGTATTTTAGTTTGATTTCCTGTAACAAGGCAGCGAACTGGTGCGGCCCGTCGTGGGCCAGGGCGAATGTGTCGCGGGCTTTGCCTAAAAACAAACACAATAAAGTTAATTCTAGAAAATTCTTAACTAATTTCAATATATCATTTGAAAATTAGACTGATTGAATGAAATTCATTCTAAATTTTAAAAAAATACGCATCCTTATAAAAGATACTGAGGTAAAATTGAGCGCTTTCCAAAAGAAATAAATTTAAAAACAATAAAATCCCGGTCAATAAAATAAGTCGGCCTTTGAAATATCAAAATCGTTATTATAAGTAATTTATAACTCAAAGAGAACTTACCAAGAAAGTCGACAAAGTCCGCATAATGTCGTGGCGATATATGTGCGAGTCGCGCGTGAGTGGTAGAAGCATAGGCCCGAAGCGCTGCTTCGAGCAGGGGACGTAGGGGCGTAGGCGGTCGCGGGGGCGGTGGCCGCGACCGCGAACAACCCGCTGCTGCCACGCAACAACGCCGCAACACGTCCGACTGTGAAGGCAATTGTTTTACTATCATTCTATTCCCTTTTGAGCTCTTAATGCTTTTATTAAGACTATATTTCGTTATTCATATGTTTAAAAACTATTTTGACCCAATCGAATCGAAAATAGTTACGATAATTTTAAAATTGTATATCGTTTTTAAATACTGAACTCTTGCTAAAATGGGTAGGTATTACATAGTGTGGTAATATTTCTCAATATTTTTTTATTTTTTTTATTTTTTATTCTTTAACATTATCCAGACATAATTTTAATCGAGGCGTTCGTATGTCCTCTTTAATATGATACTAAGAAATACATAGTCCATTTAGCTCTTAAATTATATTAAAAAAGCTAATTTTACGTTATATCAAAATAAATATTGCTTTTAATAAAATGTATAACTCACAAGTACGGGCGCACACTGCACGTTCTTAACTAGTAAAGGCAACATAGCTTGAAGTTCCGCTCGGCCCAAGGAATGCGCCAGCGCAACCGCCCAGTGGATATCAGCTATCGCTGGATGACTATCCTGTAATTCAGAAAACAATTATCAATACTTTTTTTTTACAACATTTATAATAAAGCATTGTTTTATTTCTCTTTAAACGTGTTTCATTTTTGGCGATGGTCGTAAAATATATATAAGTTTATTTATTTATTTATTTATTTACAGCCCAATGGCCAAACTTAGACTAAAACCAATAAAATACAATTAAGATTTACAAAATTGACAGTAAATGCTATCCTCTTATCCCCTCCAGGTATACTCTGAAATCGCAGAATACTACCCCCATAAGCGTCCCAAATAGGTCGCTCTCCGGTGAAGAGTCGAGAAACCCATTAAGCAGTGAGAGTAACCGGGGAATGGGCGCTTGTTGTCGTTAGACAGTGCGAGCCGAATGCACAGCGAAAAGGTTATGTTTCCGGCAGCGGTAATAGTTGTCCGGAACGTATAGCCGTATAAGTTAGAGTTTAATAATAGTTTCAACAGAAATTTAAACATTACCGCTTATTTCGAATCTATTAGTGACTATTTCATGTTTTTACTGTTCTTGTGTCATTATTTTTTTTCCTTTCTTCTTTTTATTTTTTATTGTAACTGACTCTTAAGAGTCCCCCTTCGCCCCCGGCCCCCCTGGGGGGAGGGGGCCGCTGTAAATTGCAGTCATCGTTACTATTTGGTGATGATGGAGCAATAGCTAACGATATCTCAAAGGCATAAACTATGTTTTATTAGATGTACTCGCGAACTTCGTTTCGCCTTAATATTTCTTTATTGCTTTTAATTATTATTTTTTAATTTAGCCTACCTTTTTAGCTAAATACCAGCATATGGAATGCTTTCCTATGCTACCCCATAGACAGTTCGCTTTTCAGGATTAAAATTTTAATACTACATAAAACTAAATTTTCTCAATATTTCCATAAAAACCTCAGACAATAAATAAAAAAATACCCGAACTGGCCGTCTTCTAGTTTTGAGCTTAGCAACATATTTTGCGATTCATTTTTATTTATACAGATACGTCTTTGCAATAAATATTTTTTAAGCTAACCTGGTTATAATGCAGATGCAAATTCCGCATGGCCAGTGTTGCCAGCCGCATCGCTCTGGCGGGTTGCCCGCGTTGTTCCATATACCGGGCCACTGCGAACAGTTGGCTCGAGGCCAAGGCGCCTCTGGCCGCCGCTCCACCCACCGCTACACACGCTGCTTCGAACGCGCCTGCCGAGCCCTCACACACCGATAGCGCACTAAGAGCGCAGCCAGGGGGATCCTGATGATTAAATTCAGTTATAGATATTAGGCAATTCATTTTGACGTTCATAAGTGTACATTGTGTTACCTACATGAATAAATGATTTTTGACTTTGACATTTATAAGGAATTGGAAAAAATGCGTTCATGAAAAAGCAGATTTGTTAATTTAAGTAGACCTAGCCTAGGTTTACAAAATTTACAGTATATTTAAGATAATGAATATACTGAACAAAACAAACGACAGTCCAACATCACTTTATTCATTTATTCTACACAATATTTCAATTAAATAACCTCATTACCCCCGACAAATCGTCTTGTCAACCTTAACTTACATAGTAGATATATACAGACTATACCAAGGGAAATAAAGAATATAATTTCTTTACATAATTTATATGTTTTAAGTTTTCACAATTTTCGGAGATACAAATGTTTTGCCTGTGTAATACTAGCCTTTATCAAAGACCTTAGATTTGAACATTTTCAATTTCTATAAGAATTTTTTAAAAATGTATTGGAAATCAAAACTAAAAATGGCCAAATCTGCAATAATAACGCTTTGCACTGTAATATTATTAATTTTACCTTATTCGCACACTGCAAGGCCAATGTCCTCGCACAGGAACTAAGTTTTTCTTGTTGTTCGAAGCTAAGGCCTAGTCTTAGCGCCGTGGCGTGGGACATGGCGGCTGCCGCAACAGGACCAGTAGCTTCAGTGGGCGTGAATAGTTCATACCTGGAAATTTAAAATGTACCGATTATTTTATAGAATGGATTATGATTTCATGTGTATTTCACTGTATCAACTATACTTAATCAAATATTTTGTTCTGTTATAAAGGAACAGAAAAAGATTCCCCGAGTAGGTTTTTTATTCGGATCACAACAGGACAAACAAATTGACGTACATACAAAAATATGAAACATTTTCTCATAATTTATTGAGAAGTCAATAGGATTTCAAATCAACCACTCACATTAAAATATTATCTGATTATACACTGTACGCACTGTACCTTTATCTGTGCAACTTTTTGAAGTGAAACTTCTTTATCGAGGTTGGAAAAAATTTAGTGTAACATTTTTTCGTTACACGTCACATTTTTCGGTTACGCGCCATGTTGCTTTTTGAAGTCAAACGTTGGAATGAAACTTCTTTATCGACGTATGGGAGAAATCGTCACGTTTTTCAATGATAGTAATAATTCTATTACAATTAATGAAATTCTATAATAATCTTCGTAGTAATAAGGTAAAATAAAATATTTGTATTCATGTCTATGATAATAAAAGCCTTTTGTTAAACTTTATCTAATTTAACGAATTTCTGTAAAGTTGCATATAGTAGATCATTTTTCGATAAATAAGATCATAAAGAAGTTTCACTTCTTACGTGTGTACACCTAGTACACGCACACTTTATTTTTTATAGAACAGGTGGCAAACGGGCAGGAGGCTCATCTGATGTTTAGTGATACCGCCGCCCATGGACACTCTCAATAGCATAGGGCTCGCGAGTGCGTTGCCGGCGTTTTAAGAATTAGTACGCTCTTTTCTTGAAGGACCTTAAGTCAAATTAGTTCGGAAATACTTCAGGGGGTACTACACTTGGTTCCACATAGTGGTGGTGAGCGGGGTATTTTGGAGTTTCGTAATTGAAATTGCATTTACAACTAATATATATAATTGTTTGCGCACTTACCACTTCTGCATAATGGACAGTAATGCGTCGAGACCTAGCTCCGTGGCGCACGTGACCAGCCATCGGACCATCTCGCGACGTCGCCAGTTCACGGCTGACAGCGTCATTCGTAACACCTGCGAGATTTTACGTTTTATACAGTTCCCGGATGAAGGATATGTAGTAGTGACCATAGTCTTTGTGAAAGTTTTTTCAAGGAAGTGCAATGGTTTTAGTAAACCAAATTTGGTCATTCTTCATAGATAATTCTGACCCATGGACAAGAGCGTTGTAAAATTTTATATTTAATTTAATTGCTTACAATGCATGTTTCTTGTTTTTATTTTTAATGTAACGAAGTTTTAATAAATTAATAAAAAAAATCCATAACATAAAATATAGTTTTTTTTTATTTTCATAACCTGGATACAAGTCCATTGGCTGAAACTTTTTTACTAAATCGTAAAACAACAGTGTTACCAATATAGAAAAGAAACAATATTTATTTTATTTTCAAGGGCCTATAGGTTATAGCACATCTATGTACCATGTATGTAAAACAGCTTAATTAATAATAAATAGTGATAAAACTGCTTCGATGTTCATATTGTATTACTAACCTGTAGACCCAGCTCGAACGCAGCAGCCAACAGATCCCGATGGTGGTGAGGCGCGTCTGGCGGCGCAGCGTGTCGTAACGCATCTTGCGCGAGGCGGAACAGCTGCGCAGCTGAGCGCACGTGGCGCTGCGCAGCCGCCAACGCAGCGCGTAGACGACTGGGCGTACCACGGGCCGCGCCTACAATTGATTAAGTTATCAATGAACAAGTGTTTGAAGATTGTACGATATAAACAAATGGCGGCCCCAAGTGTGTCTAGAATGGGTGTGAATAGAAACTTTAAAAGGAGACCTCTTTCTAAGAAGCTGTAGCAGAATAACCATTTCCTAAGCATAGAGTAACATTCTAACAAGTAACAGTGGTTTGTGTGGAGATGTTGAATGTGAGGTGTGTATGTGTGTATGTGTGTATGTGTGTCTGTGCGAGTGTATTTTAAATTTGTTATTAGGTATAAATTTTCGCTTGAATTTATATATTTAAATAATAATTAATTTAGACAAACACAGTACAAAATTTAGGTCCACGTTTAGAATAAGGCATAGAGGTGGATATACAATACTGACCCAAGAGCGCACTGGCCAAAGCCGCCTGCTGCTGCTCAGCGTGCTGTAGGGTATGCCACGCCCCCGTTCCACCCGCGCCCGCCCCGCCCCCGTCTAACGCGTACGCCTCTTCCACCATGGGCAGTCTGAAACATAACAGCACGGTGAGTCTTAGCATATTTATTAAACAGTTAAAATAATGGTTTGATAATAATGTTAGTATTTCAAAATACTGTACCTAAACATAATTTTTAGAGAAAGAAACATATTTCGATCACATAACTACATAAATTTATTTGTACATGAAAAAAAAATATCACCAAAAACGTGTTTTTTATTGGTTAAAATTTAATTTCAAAATCAATAAGTGTAAAATTGTATGGTAAGAAATCGCTGATTAAATCTGAAATATCTAATTAGATATACCTCATAGCTCTTAATCCAACCCGATACGCCAAATCCGGGTCAGTAGGCAGCAGAGCCAGAAACAGGAACCTCGCGAAGGTATGCGCCGGAGCAGACCTGGGATGGACCTTGGTGCCGAGACAGGAGGAGGGTCCTCCCGCCAATAGAGCCCGCGCTACACGACCACATACGCCCGCAGCTGCCTCACCCTCAACGCGCTGGAGCTGGCTTATTAATCTCTCTTCCTGGAATTAAAGACATATCGTATAGGAACCATTTTACGAGAATTAATATATATATTCGAGGATTCCTAAAAAAATTAATAGGTTTATATACTATTATTTTTGAAAGCTTTGCTGACAAGAGGGGAGGGGATAAATTGCAGCAAATCTGCTTACGAAATCGTTATAACGTCGGTGAAACGTCTTAGGAAGGTTGTACCAAATCCAGAAGGGACAAGTTGAAAGTACTCATAACCGACGAGCATGCACCATGCATGCATGGTGAATGTCATGACAAAGAATGAAGCGAGAGAGGAATATCAGGACCGTCGCAAGTGGAGATCCTCTCCCTACCCCTTCAGGAAATAGGAGTGATAATATAAATAATATATTTATACCAAAATGCCTCAAAATGTATTCTACTTAATTATCTATATATTTTATAGACTATTTATATGACTTGTTCATTCCATCCCGAATCAATTATTACAGAATCTAGGCACAGAACCCCAACCTCAATGGATTTAACCAATAATCAATACGAGACTATAGTACTAATAAATTCAAATGGATTTTTGTAAAAATCACTCACCTGTTTACAATACCTCTCCTGCGCGTACAGTCCGTTTGGCAGCATCCTTTGCATTCCAAGACCAAGCAGAGCTGCTTCTAATGCTAGTGCCAAGTAGGTCTCTTCGGGGTTCTTACTGCCTGCTACCGGTACATGTTGATACCTATAAAGTATTTATAATTATTTATTAGTAAATAGAAGAGAGGATGTCCACCAGAAAGAGATTGGATAGCGGGAAAAGACAAATGGAAGAATTTGGAGTAGGCCTTCAGTCCGTCAGAGGTCGTGTTAAATGAAATATAATAAAATAAACTTTATGCAATTCTTGTTATTATACTAGAATTTAAGCCATTTCTATTCTTTATTATCATAGCTTAAACAATTTATAAATTTATAAACCACATGTGAAACAGTTTTCAAATGAATCAAAACATTCAGTAACATAATACGTATACACTTATGAACGAAAATTTATTTTCAATTTATAAGAGTTCACGAAATTTCTCATGAAAAGAAATTAAGTGATGACCAGTAGGTCGCCCCAGGTACTGCTAGATCGACAGAGTGGAGGAAGACCTGCTGCTGAAAGCCAGCAATTGGTGGGAGGTGGCACAGGAATACAATACACTAAATACTATACACCAATACACTTTTTGGGTCGCAGAGCCAGCGGAGTAATGCTAAATTAACATTTACTAGCAGTACTCGAAACAATAAAATAAATTGGTGGTGCTACAACCTTTTTAGGTCTGGGCCTCAATTTTAGTGTCTGTATCATTTCTCAATCTAATAGGCTAGTAGGCGATCGAATTTTTGTGTCTAAGGCAAGCCGGATTCATCAGGATGTGTTCCTTCTCCGTTTGAGCGAATGTTAATTGCGCGCATAGAAAGAATGTCCATTTGCAGCCGGATCGAACGTACGACCTCAGGGATGAGAGTCGCACGCTGAAGCCACTAGGCCAACCCTGCTCTAGCAGCTCAAACTACAGTACTCAAATTAAGCGTAAGAACTGGCAAGAAGAACAGGCAAGAAACTATTACATTCCCCGAGGTTTTGTTTCAGAGATGGCTCCACATATTGAAGCAATAAATCATAAAGAAACTTATCATGACGAGGCTTACCGAGGTGGAAGTCCGGTGTTGGGCTCCTCATCGATATAGGTGTGAAGTCGCGGCGACGCCCGTTGGTCGTCCGGCGCCAGGCACGCGTCAGCCAGACATTCGTACACGCACCAGATGGCCTCCAACGTCCAGCCCGTCCAACACCTACTGTCTATGGACAAATGTGTAAAGAATTGTTGTTACTAGAAAAAGACGTATAATTTATATGAAGTGTTTTTTACTTAACTTAATACTGCCATAACATATTTGAGATCTAGTGAGATTTTGAGAAATGTTTGTAATTTCAGAATCGATTTAATAAATTGGTTAAATACAATATATTACTATTTCTGAATGGCTGTTTTTTTTTTGTTTGTTTCTACAAACATTTCAATTATGTAAAAACAATTTTTTATTTTTTATTACCTGGCTTATATGGACTTTGGACTTCAGATACAGACTACTATGTGCAATTGATGGCCTTTTCGCTTGAAACGATCTTCCAAGCAACCACTAGTCGATTTTTAAAGTAACAATCGATTAATAGCTTTTTTTTATTGAACAAGGGGCCAATGGGCAGGACGCTCACCTGATGTTAATTGATACTGCGCACATGGACACTCTCAATGCCAGAGGGCTCGCTAGTGCGTTGGCGGCCTTTTAAGAATTGGTACGCTTTTTTTTTTTAGGACTCCAAGTCAAATTGATTCGGAAATACTTCAGTAGGCACCTGGTTCCACATAGTGGTAGTGCGCGGCAAAAACTATTTTAGCTTACTATAATCATGAAATTAACTAAAAGTCAACAGTGAATAGTTACCTTTTCCAATACATCGGTGCGTATGCGATAGCGCGCACGTGTCCGTATTCGATAAGCACGTGCCCGCGTCCATATGTGCGCAAATCAGCGACAACTTCACTCTATCACATTGGCCGCCGCACGATTCGCTGCCACATTCCCTACTCGAGTTGTTACTGGAGTTAGAGTTGGTGGAATTACTACTCCCTGACGCCTCCCCTCCACCCGCGTCTAGCCATCTTTGTTGCGCTACTTCCTAAAAAAATAATAAAGTAATTCTTTTAAAACATTGAAACGATTACGAGAACAATTGTTTTTTGTATTACTAACGTTTTGTATTTTCTTTAATTCTTTAGTTTATAAGGAATTTAAATTTTGTAACTGTGGCGTAACCCTTCAGGCAGCAAGGTAAACCCCCTTAGGGCCAGTTTTTTGATCCGTAGTAAAAAATGGTTTAACCATTTGTTACATTAACTATAGTTAAATGAATAACCATTGGTAAAATCGTAAATGCGTTTTTCAATGTCTATTTTAACTATAGTTAATCTTAACAATTGGTCAATTTGTTGCCAGTGCAATGAGAAATGACATCCCAAAAAATGTGGTTCTTTTTTGTGGGGAACATTTATTTTGTATGACAACACTAGACATATTGAGTGAATGAAATCCATTTTTGCCATCTTCATTCGTTATTTGCGCTTTGAAGAGTTTGAAGTGTCAAATTAATCTAAATAACACGATATAAATAAAGTTGTTTTTCTGTGTTTTTAATACGGTTTACACCCTTTACGATACTTAAATATATAAATAACGATGTCCGCAAACAGCCAACGGTCAAACAAGTAAGTACAAACATATTTTTGTGTTATTTATTCCGGTTTATCTTGTGTTTCGTAATAGAAAGTAATACATTTATGTTTTGTTACAGGGACCATACTGCTAACTTCGCCAAAAAAGAAACTGCCAAACTGGTGATGCTTCTCAAGGATTACACAGTCTTAACCTGCAAACAACTGATCACTGCAGCAATCTACAAAAAGATGCAGCTTGGAAATCTCTGTGACGTTTTCAACTCAGATGTGTCTAGACACCGAAGTGTTAAATTTAATATACATTTAATGAAGGTGTAGGCACATATTTATATTTATTTTTGTATAGCTGTGTCCTACAACAAAAGGAAAAAATCTTTTAACCCTTTTGAAACAAGGAAGCGGATTATGATCCACACGGATAAAAAAAATGGAGTTTTTGAAACAAAAACAAATAAAGAGAGGATGATTTGTTCAATTATGCTAAGGAAGAGCATCAAAAACATTTGCTGCACCAATGAGAGGCCCACCAAAAATCCATACTGCATGAAGAGGAGGTGCAACAAAAAGTGATGCAGCAGATGGAAGAAAGGCACAATAAATATATGTAGCAGCAAAAAGAGTTGCATCAAATTGAGGTGAAATGCAAGAAGAAACAATTAGAAAATATTTAATTGCTACTTTAGGGTTTCATGTAAATAATGTAATGTTTTTTTAATAAAAATGGTTTGTATTTAAGTTATAATTAAACAGTTTATTAATCAAGTCACATGTTTTATTTATAAATTCTTGTAATAAAGTAGGTAGATGCTAACTCACAAATGTAATAAAAGCCCTAAAGAATATCATAGGTCCCTAACTAATGTGTAGCTGTAGTTTATTACAAGTATGTACTTATAATAATTATAAGTTAATATTATTAGTAATATATAAATAATATTAACTCTAATTCATTATGTATTTTATTGCCTAGATATAACTTATAATAATTATAAGTAATATTTAGGATAAACATAATGAATTAGTAATATACTTAATTATATACTGCTGCGGTTCTGTAGCTAGTAATGAAGTAAAATAGGTTTGTATGAGCTGCTGTCTATATATACTCTTGTTCTTGTATTTTATTTTTATTTAATTATAAGTTAATATTATAGGCAATTAAACACATAATGAATTAGTAATACACTTAATTATATACTGCTGCGGTTCTGTAGCTAGTAATGAAGCAAAATAGGTTTGTATGAGCTGCTGTCTATATATACTCTTGTTCTTGTATTTTATTTTTATTTAATTATAAGTTAATATTATAGGCAATAAAACACATAATGAATTAGTAATATACTTAATTATATACTGCTGCGGTTCTGTAGCTAGTAATGAAGCAAAATAGGTTTGTATGAGCTGCTGTCTATATATACTCTTGTTCTTGTATTTTATTTTTATTTAATTATAAGTTAATATTATAGGCAATTAAACACATAATGAATTAGTAATATACTTAATTATATACTGCTGCGGTTCTGTAGCTAGTAATGAAGTAAAATAGGTTTGTATGAGCTGCTGTCTATATATACTCTTGTTCTTGTATTTTATTTTTATTTAATTATAAGTTAATATTATAGGCAATAAAACACATAATGAATTAGTAATATACTTAATTATATACTGCTGCGGTTCTGTAGCTAGTAATGAAGCAAAATAGGTTTGTATGAGCTGCTGTCTATATATACTCTTGTTCTTGTATTTTATTTTTATTTAATTATAAGTTAATATTATAGGCAATTAAACACATAATGAATTAGTAATATACTTAATTATATACTGCTGCGGTTCTGTAGCTAGTAATGAAGCAAAATAGGTTTGTATGAGCTGCTGTCTATATATACTCTTGTTCATTGGCAGTTTAAGATCATTCCCAATTTCAGTTACAATCCTGAGCACTGTTCCCTTCGATAGGGGTTAACAGTGATAAAAATCTACATCATCCCAGGTTTCTAATGGCGGATGGCGTTGCCTAAATATTTTTGGTCACTCATTAACACATTCTCATATAATATTATCGTCTCCTTCATCGTCTCATTAATTAAAGTATCTCAATATGTTTAAATTCATCATTAGATAGTAATAAACGTATTTATCATAGTTTGATTTCTGTGACAAACAGCTGTTACTATATAAATTACCAGCGGCCATCTTGTTAACCCTCCGATACTGAGTAGTTAACTTTTTTGACTAATGGTTAGATATTTTACCATTAGATGCTCTTACCACGGATCAAAAAACGCATTTTGCTGATATTTAACTAATAGTAAGGATTTTTAACCAATAGTTGAGTTAAAAAAAAAACCGGTCCTTAGTGGTTTTTTGGTGTGTTCTGTAGTTATAGTTTATATATAATTATATAATATATTAAGCAATACTAAATAAAAATATTTGGACTTTTAAAAAATTTAATGTTAAATTATTTTCTATATCGATTAAAATAAGAAAAACGCAGAACAAATAATGAATGACCAGAGAAATGGGTAATGCCATTCAATGCAACGTTAACTTTAATAACGTTCTCATGTTAAAAATTCAAATGGTCTAATATATTATGAATGAGAATTAAAAATATACCTGTCGATGTCTCATGGCCCTAGCAGCGGCGACAGCAAGTCTAAGAGCAGCGGGCGCACGTCCATGGGCACGTAAGGCCTCTATTCTGGCGCCCACTACTGGTAAATGTTCTGAAATAATTATCTTAATTAGTTAAAGTATAATTTAAAGTATAATTATACAATATTGATCACAAAAGTATTTCTTTAAACACAATATTTATTACTTAAAATTGTTTAAGTAAAAATCTAATGCTTTCATTAGTATGTAGCGACATCTGCTTTCTAATTCTGATGACGCGTTAACAAAATCATTCCGACCGCTAAAGATATATACAACTTCTCGACTCACCACTGGGGCCTCCCTTTAATTCGAAGGAAGAGCCTTTCTCACAAGTATAATAAAACAAATTGAGATAAATAGTTTGTGCAAAAGGTTTATCCTGATCACGCCATAGTGAAGTTGTTTTAATAAATAAATCATTAAAAAAATAAACCATCCTAATTATGACTAGATTATTATCTAAGTTCAATTCTATAATTGTTTTCTGTTGGCAGGCACAGAAGACTGCTGAAATATACTAGTATTATGTCTAATATTACGTAACGCCGATCGCGAAGGTATACGTTCATACGTACGCACCGATCAAGATTTTGTTCACAATGTTTCTATACATTAATGAGTAATCATACCATGCCATAAAGGTTGACCAATTTCGTTGAATTTGGGGTAACACTGAAGGGTGGTGGACGTACTGGAGGCGCCGGCTTTGTCCAGTTTATCTGGGTCACAGTACTCGTCTGAACTGAGGATGTTCTTGAGGTGATCATTTTCCCATGAAATATCTACCGCGTCTAGTGCTCTGTGAATATAAATTACATTATTTATTAAAAAAACGCAAAATTATGTAAATTTACTGTAAATTAACTCTGATTATCTTATTCAAACCGTAAATAGCCATATGATCTTTAGTTAATTTAGGTTTCAAATTTAATAGGTTCGTCAGTATTGGCCTAGTGTCTATAGCGTGTCAACCCTGGGCATTCTCCTCGTATATTTGATTACGTCTGTGCACCAATGGATTGTTCTTTCTATATTCGCAACTTGCACCTAGAGTGAAGGAAAACATTGTGAAAAACCCGACCATCTCAGATGTAGCAGGCTGATCACATACTTGTCCAAAAAAATAAAAAATCTTCCAAGAAACGGATGAAATCTGCGCCCATGAGCACTGGATTATTATTAAAAGGTTATTCTTCATAGGTTAATCTTCTCTGTAGACTAATACTTTTTCTAATTGACATCATATATTCGGTTCAAAGATACTTTATTTCTCAAACATCAATTTAGTGATAAATTTAAATTTAAGTTAGGTTTGTTGTGTACATCGCTTTATCAAGATTATATCTTACAACCTATATAAAATAAAAATGTAAGTTGCTCTACAAATATTATAATATACGTGATACTTCGTGTAAAATTGCTACGTCACACAATGCCTGTTGTAACAGATTACAACATGATTATCATGATTACAACAGGCATTGTGTAACTAATGAATAGTAATCATTTCTTAGACGCTCTTAGACTTTTTTGATGATTTGTAAATATTTATTCTAATTTATATTGTACGATTTCTATAGACAATACAGTAATCCCCGGGTCTACCGCGTTATAAGAAATCGCGTTGTAGGAGTATTCTCGTAAAACAGTATTTTTGAACAATTCAAATACTAGGAATACAAATTTAATAAAGTTATTTAGATTAATAAGACCACAATTGAAAAAGGGGCAAAGGTACGCAATACTGGACTTGACAAAAATCATTATAAATTTCACACTACAAAAGTATAACTTGAGAAATCTCCGCGTTATAGGGAGGAAATAGCGCGTTATACGAAAACGGAAACGGGATATTCATTTTAAAAATTAAGTATCAAAATAGAAATCTCAACTTACTTATGAAACACCGTCCGTGGAGTGAGTGGTTGTGATCTTTGATTGTGTAGCCTTAACCGTTTGCTTGCTCTTCTATATTCACGTTCATAGCTAGAGGAAACAAAATACGCCTTTAATATCACATGATATAATTAATACAGAAAAAATCCGAGTTAAATGAATTTGCTGTCAGAGAATTCTCGTGTGTTCTCAAGTCTCAAGTGATCCGAGCTTGTCGAATCTATATTGTGTGTGACAAATGATGAACGACACATCAATTACTTAAGGAAAATACAGCGTTAATGGTTTGCAAAACTATATTTTTTATACAAATACTAGCGGACCCGACAGACGTTGTACACGTAAATAAAAAAAATATATAGATAATTTTTTTTTTTTTAATTTTAAACTTTAGAAAGTTTAAAATTCTATACCATATTCGATATCTCTTGGTCATAAAAATATGTGTTTAGTTTACATACACACGCGTAGAAGATTTATGAATATAAAGATTTGATGCAGACGTATTTATTACCATTAAATGCTTTGGTTAGGCTATGGTAGTAGTTGCGTGAATTGAATTACCCTAATACCATCGATAGAGAAACTGAACAGTTCATATCTGGATAAAATATTAAAGACTACTTACAATTTGTAGTAACGTATATAAAAATATTTACTTATTTGGTCTAGATTCTTCATCGGAGCTTTCAGAGTGGGAATGGACTTCTCTTCGCTGACGTTCTCTATGCCTGAAAAAAAAATAAGAAATCTATAAACACATAATAAGTATGTAATATAATATGTATATAATAACAGTAAAACATCTGTGATAACACGCATGAATGGCGCCAAAACCGACATAACTGCGCATGTGCTAAAGGCCGCGCTGCCACAGATAAACCAAAATTTCACTATACTATAGAGATCACGTTCATGTCAAAATAATTAATAGATTTTTTAACTTAAGAGATTGCTTATGTAGACAGTTTTTCTTGTGTAATTTCTGTTTTATTTGCTAGTGCAAATAAATAAACTTTTGTTGTGAAATATAATATAATGACTTTTAAATTAACTATTTACTTGTTTAGTGTTGCATTTGTTTTGAAGTTCAAAGGTTGTCAAATATTAAAAATAATTACCTGTCCCTCTCTTCCCTTTCCCTCAGTCTCTCCCTGTCCCTCTCTTCCCTTCTCTCTCTATCTCTATCTCTGTGATCTCTGTCGCGATCTCTCTCATTTCTCTCCCTTTCTCTTGCGTACTGAAATATGAATAACATGCATGTCAGACAACACCAAACTTCTACTAATGAATAAATTAAATTACCTTAAGTGGGAGAAATTTTTTTTCTCAAGAACATTTCGCAGCTCAGAAATTTAATTCTAGATTAGTATTTAAAAAAAGCATGCAAGCAAAAAAGTTTTACTTTTGTATTCAATCTATGGTAAACTTTATAATATATTCAAAGACTAAGCATGTGTTACTATAATTTAAAAAAAAATAACGTACTAGAGTAAACTCATAATGTAACTGCCTGTCATTAAAGAAAATAATAGTCAAAATATATATTGCGACAAATAGACTTATTGACAAGTAAGCTCATATTAGGTATATAATATATACCACTAGCTGACCCGGCAAACGTTTGTTTTGCCATGTATATTATTACTAGAAAACATTTTTTTTATTCAATAAAAATAACTATCTACAATAATAAAAAATAGGGGTTGATCGTAGAGGGGTGAAAATTAGGGGTTGTATGTATTTTTGTATGCTGTATCATAAAAAAATAAAAACAAAATAATATTTCTAAAAAAATATTTTTTTTGGGATGGACAGTGGACCCTTATCACTTAAGGGTTTCCGAAAGATAATAGCCGATTGTCAGACTTACTGAATATGCATAAAAAAAGAGTCTGGGAACGAACATTGTGACACGAGAATTTTATATAATAAATTCACACTCACCAACGGAAAAGACCTATAATCGGGATCCTCCGTAGGGCAGACTTCCACAGCAGACCATTTTTCTAACAGTTTCCTCCACTGTGTTCTATAGCACTCATTGCTACCCGGGTCCAGCACTATGCTTACCCATAAGGCACCCAATTGTTCCCACAGTTGTCTGCATTTCTCTGTCATGGGGGTATTCTGATTCCGCCACAACAGAAGCCGAGGGTCTGATAGGAACTGCTCCGTCATCAACATAAGCATACGTGGACCGTTCGAGTCTTGCGCACGGAGCATCTCCCTGACCTGAAATGTTTGATTATGATTTTAATTATTTGATTAAGCTATATTATTGACTGAGCAGTGTTGGCCTAGTGGCTTCAGCGTGCGACTGTCATCCCTGAAGTCGAACGTTCGAACCCCGGCTTTGCACCAATGGGCTTTCTTTCTACGTGCGCATTTGACATTCGATCGAACGGTGAAGGAAAACATCGTGCGAAAACCGGTCAGACCCAAAAAGTCGACGGCGTGTGCCAGGCACAGGAGGCGGATCACCTTCTTGTTATTAGATTGACTAATGATCTTGAAATCAGAGGCCCAGACCTAAAAAGGTTGTGGCGCCATTTTTTTTATTATTATTATTATTATATTATTGACTTAATCACGTTCTAAAAATATTTAATAAGGGCTAAGAGCGACCAGATGAAATAACATTTAGACAACTCGTACCCATTCTTATAAGCAAAACAACTGTTTAAAGTCTAAATAATAACATTGTTATAATTAAAACTGATAAATTAGCAATGGTTCAGATTTCAATTGTAAAACTTAATAATTTAGAAATGTTCTGCTAATGACTGGTCCATGTCCAATGAACGCGAAATAATTGATTAAAATTCGGAATATGATTTTGGTAAATTAAAATATTTAGGTACCTGTAAATTAAGTGAAATTAATGTATGCTTACCTTCGAAAATAAGGAGTTTAATTGCTTGTTTGCGTTATAATATGTTCCCTGTAGTAAATATGCCCGCACTTGTTCGCAAACCTGGAATTAAAATATAGGTAGAGAAATTACTCATAATATTTAGGGTCTGTTTCACAATGTACGGATAAGTTCTACATAAGTTCCAAATTAGCTACTTATTACTTATTAGTAGGATAAGCACTATTATTGCGTTTCACGACTGTCAGATAGCGCTATTCGTCACATAAAGTACATCATTATATAATATGAGTCCGATGAATGTCAAATAGCACAATTCATCTTACAAATAATTTATGTGTTGCATAGCTATTTGGTACTTTATCCATACATTGCGAAACAGACCCTTATTATTATTATTTTAACCATATTTTCTACCATCATAGACTAATTCGATAGAAAGGAAAAAATAACCTAAATCTTTCTATAACAAATAATGGACATATACATGACAGTATGTTTTACGCAATACGCATAGTATTCACACGTTTGAACTATACAGAACAGACAGAAACATAGGCACAGTGCTTCATAAGATATCTAACGATACTTCATAACACATCAAAATAAAATTTGAGACTATACATCGATTCAGAAGATAAATAACTTCAGAACAATTCAGGAATTAAAAGGAAAAGAAAAATCAAGAAAATTATAATGAATTTGATGTTATTGTTGAAAATAGTGAGAAATTATATATTTTTTATTAATAATGTGTTATTTATAAACTTCAATGTTTGTTAGTAGTTGTTAAACTAAATAAATATTAGTTTTACACAACAAACATGTGTGTTTTGATTTCGTAAATGTGCACCATAATATTTATCTTCGGAATAATCGTAATAATTTTTTGTTATATATTTGAATTAAAAACTCTTTTTCTATACAGAACTGGTGAGACGTTTGGCCTCAATCCCACCTGATGTTAAGTGAGATGTTGTGTGTGTGGATGTGGAGAGCATGCCTGTTTAACCGCTGCTTAAATGACTATATAACACATTATACAGTCTAAAGAAGATGGAAGTTTTTTTTTTCATGGAGTTTCACTACTCTACAATACTCTTATTAATTTAACGCTTTTTGGTTACGATTTGCGTTTGTTAATTGTTTATTTTACAAAAAGTTCAGTACTTTTTAATACTTTTTTGCCTAGTTCAGGAATGATATCTCTTGACTAAGTCACTATTTATTATACCATTTTCTCCATTATACCTGAATTTCGTCCAAATGCCAAGCATGATGTGCATCAGGCGGGGGTCCCGCTGTTGGATCAGGAGCCCCACAGATCCTGTTGATAGCTGAACGCGCCTGCAGCACTTCATCAGCCAACTTCTGCGCGGTCGGCAGTACCTCCGTGTGATGTTCCGCTATTAGATACTGTACAAACTTCTGGAGCTGCTGCCGATCCATCTGCAGTAGGGTTTCTGTAAGTTGACCGAAATATTGTGTGATTTAGCTTTAATTAAAGGACGCATTCATTACAACAAAACACGATCGACAGTGTCACATACAACGATAAAATGTTAAATTCACAGATAAATTATAATATACGATATCGTATATACGTCAAAAAAGTATATATAGTTCGGTTCTAGTATTAATAGAGTTAATAATAACCACATCATTAAGTTCCGACAGCCGACCTTTTTATATATACTTTTAAAAATGAAATAATATAAAAACTAATTTTATACTTTAATGCATTTAAATTCTTGACATTGACAGATTGTTTGGAGTCTTCCGCGAAAATATAATGATCCATTAATTAACTAGACTATTAAGCGAAACATTAATAACACGTCCTTATAAGTAGTGGTTTTTATAGAAGTTTTACAGTAAAACGATAATTTTGAATATAATTAGACGTTGGACATTCCATAGAGTTGAAGTGGTACTGGCGTTTACGTGTCAAAATTACAAAATAAGTTCACTGCCCGTTTTATAAAGCTTGTATACCTGATATGGGAACCCGTAGCCTCACTGAATCCGCATTTCTTATGCGGTAAAGGGCCAAGGCGACTACATGCTGACACCAAAAGATGTCGCGCGCCTCGCAACTGCATGTTACCCCAGTTATCTTGCACCTAGAAAAGTTTTAAGGGTTTAGTATAACAATGTATTTTACAACATGTAACATTGCATTTAATAAATCTGTTTCAAGTTTATTTGTCAATCTAATACGCAAGTAGGTGATCGGCCTCCTGTGCCTGACGCACGCCGTGGACTTTTTGGGTCTAAGGCACGATTTCCTCACGATGTTTTCCTTCACCGTTGAAACGAATGCGCACATAGAAAGAAAGTCCATTGGTGCACAGCCGGGGATCGAACCTACGACCTCAGGGATGAGACTCCCACGCTGAAGCCATATGGCCAACACTGCTCACCTCTTTATAAATAGAGAAGTATATTATACTAGTGGAGCCCACAGACGTTGTCCTGCATGATATTTAAAGCGAAGCGGATATTAAGCAAAGTATGAAAGTACCGACTGCAGTGCCATCTGCCGGGCTGATTGGAAACCATTCCCAGATCCCCTTGAACACACACAAAAAATTTCATCAAAATCGGTCCAGTCGTTTGAGAGAAGTTCAGTCACATACACACGCACACAAGAAATATATATATTAAATTAGGTATTATAAATTTCAGTAATAAGTTCATAAATAGACTGTACTAAAGAAATATTAAGAGTTTCGTAAATAAATGTTTATTATTATACGACCTCAATTTTAAACCAACTTCGAGAAGTCAAAGAAACCATCAAAGCTTTCAATGCTATGGAGGCATGAAATTACTTTCTATAATTTCGGGTCCTTTATTTAGAGCTGGTTCAATAAAGGACACAATCGTTTACGATCTCCAAGGTGACAAAGTTTCGGATTACAATAGATAGTAGAATCCTCGATAATAAAAGAACTACGTCCTGGCTCCAACAATGCGTTTAATAGCGGTTTCTTCTGCTGTATTGCGTCAGAAATGTTTATTTAACTTATGATAAATCATATAAGGAAATTATAAGAAAATCGAAGATTGAAGGTATGTAAGGTAAAATCTCGTTCATTTTGCAAATACAAAAAAATAATTAATAGTTATTTCTTCCTTCTTAGTAGATTTTATGCTTTATAAGGTGTTAATACGTCTTCAGATATTTAGTATTGTAATCTATTACTTCGAATAAAAAATTCGCAAAATATGACGAAAGACTTTCTTTATTATAATTTTGTTTTATATAGTGATTAAAGACATAAAAAGGTTTAATATTTTTTTGAAGTGAAACTTCTTTATCGAGGTCGGAAAAAAATTTAGAGTAACATTTTTGAAGTTGTACTTCTTTAGGCGCGTTATGAAAAATTGATGAGAGTGAAATTTTACGATTGCGCGCGCACCTATGACACAAAATTGGCAGTGTGATATAGCGTGCGCGAGCGAGATGGGAATAAGACAAACTACAAGTAAAAGAAATAGAATATGCGTGAAGCTAACTTCACGCATATTCTAGCTTAGCAGCTTAACAAGAATTTTGAATGACCATGACAATTGACATCTGACAATGACATTTACCTTTTAAACAAATATAGGAGTTTTAATTATTGTTTAAAATTAATATTTATATACCTAGTTATTTTCATTATACAAAATATTTGTGAAATAATATAAAATATTTGTGAAAAAACTGTGCTAACCTTCCTGAGTGCTTCAATACAATTGAGGTTAACTATCCGTATGTATTATCGAGTATTATTGTTGATTAAAACTGAAACATGAACCATTATTCATTGCTTTTGTTTATTGCGTTTGTTACAGCAACTTTTTAGAAATATTCTACGACCCTATATATCAATAATTGAGAACAAAGATTTAAGCACGAATACTAATAAGGAGAAAATGAAGGCTTGGAGCGATATAACAGAGAAGTAAACATTTAATAAGTACCTGCATCTCAAAAAAATGACCACATTATTTAATCAAAACATCAGATTTAATCTAGCAAATATAAGGACAAGAGACAAAAAACAATTGATGAATCAGTGGAAGTGCACTAAATTGAATACAAAAAAAGAGTTGTCATCTTATCGCCGTGAAACATCAAAAACTGGAGGTGGAACAAAGCCACCATCACCTTCTCGAGACACAATGGTTTGAAGTAGATTTCAATGAATTTGATTGTGATGGTGTCGAGGTAGGAATGTTAATTATAAATATGATGTATGGTGATGTTCAAGGTTCAACCTTTCAAGCATAGGCATATGCTTACAACATTACTTTATTCCCCTACAGGGTAGTTAGAGATATTGTAATACCTCAAAACATCCATGTTGCACTTGTAGTACCGAAACTCTGTCCTGCCAGAAGTGAGCCCATTCCCACTTATAATGGACAGTGGGTATAATACACCTTAATACCTGAGTGCGAACCACTCACCATGATACTTAAATTAATAGATGTTATTTATATATTTCAGGTTATTACAAATAAAATCATTTTGGAAACAATTGATATCCCAAAAGCAAATAAAGCCAACAATGACAAGGTAATAAATCAGTTTTGACATAACTTGAATACTAAAAAAGCCAAACAAAGGTGTGCACAACAGTGACAACATAACTTAACAATTTCATTATTTTGTAGGATTAAAGAAAGGTTAAAGAAAATCATGTCGAACTGAACAACAAGAATCCCCAAACAACTCCAAAGAAACCTACAAGGAAGACACCGGTATTATATTTAAATTATCTCTATCTCTAAATAGAATAAAAGAAAGTTGCTATCCAGGTCTGTAGCATGTGCTACAAATTATATTATTAACACATTTATATAATTATATTAATATAAATGTGTTAAAAAATTTATAATATGAATTATAAAAAATTTTAAGTTTTGCATGGACAGAGCTTAAATTAATATTCTCTTATTTGTTGCAGAAAGCAAGTAGTTTTGGAGAAGCCTCGTAGATGCACAACCAAGTAATGATTAATTTAAAATTACAAACCGAAATTCTGATGAAGACATTAGAGTCACTTAAAAATAAATAGTATAATGAAATAAAAATGTTTTAAAGATAAATAGTGTTTTATTTGTTTAATGTAAGAGAATAATAATAAATATTTATTTAATTAATTTTTCAAATGTAAACTGAACTTTATTGACTTTAATGACTCCTTTTCCAGGCTTTGATTATTTAATTGTAATTAATTATTTGCATGCAATCAAAAACTATTTTTAATAATGCCAAAGAAGTATAACTTCTTACGCGCGTACATAAGTACACGCACCCTTTTTTTCGTTACACGTCACATTTTTCGGTTACGCGCCATGTTGCTTTTTGAAGTCAAACTTCTTTATCGGCGTTGGAATGAAACTTCTTTATCGACGTATGGGAGAAATTTTGCAGCAAATCGTCACGTTTTTCAATGATAGTAATAATTCTATTACAATTAATGAAATTCTATAATAATCTTCGTAGTAATAAGGTAAAATGAAATATTTGTATTCATGTCTATGATAATAAAAGCCTTTTGTTAAACTTTATCTAATTTAACGAATTTCTGTAAAGTTGCATATAGTAGATCATTTTTCGAAAAATAAGATCATAAAGAAGTTTCACTTCTTACGTGTGTACACCTAGTACACGCACAATTTATTTTATGTACATCGCAGTCATCATTATTTGTTCATGATGCAGCGAACTTGTCGCCTTAATATGTTTTTTTAACTTAGCCTACCTTTTTAGTAGCTACATACCAATATATAGAACATTTTGCTATGCTACTTATAGAGACTGTTTGCTTTTCCGGATTAAAAACCTAAGTAATAAAACTAAATATTTCGTTTTTTTATATTTTTCCAATTTTCTCCCCATTAAAAACTTCCTCGGAGTACAAATAAAAAAAATACTCGAATTGGCATTTCGTTTTGAGTTTGGCAACATATTTTGCGGTTCATTTTTATTTATATATGTATACGTAATTATTCAGTTCAAATCTACAAATCGGCCAAAATATATATCATAAATTCAAATACCTGTCAAATGAAACTGTAACTCTATATAGCCTTTCAGGTTCAGCTGAACAGGGGCTGATGGCCGCTGGTGCTCGCACTACTCCACTCAGATGGAAACCTGGAAATTACAAACAATAACTTTAAAACAACAGTTACTCAAGGTACGGTTTTAGGGCCCATAAGATAGAAAATATTCATGCAGGTAAATGTTTTCTACATTTGCAAGATATTATAGGATTTAAAGAAGTAAACTGTTAAAAGATGCATTTAAATTAATAGTAATGTATAAGTAAAACAATGCCCAAAGCGTTTGAATGACTACACCAACGATTTTGACAATTGACAATCGCGACAATGGACAAGTATAGATCTTATGACAGAGAAATTTTAAGAGCAGTGTTGGCCTAGGGGCTCAAGCGTGCGACCCTCATCGCTGGTCGTGAATACGAATAACGGCTGGGCACCAATGAATTTGGCTTTCTGTTTGCACTTGCTCCTACGGTGAAGGCAAACAACGTAAGGAGACCGGCATGTCTCAAAGTCAATCGTTCACATGTGTCAAACACAAAAGGTTGATCACCCAAGGATGCAATCTGAGGCCAAGAACACTGGGTTATGATTATAGATCATAGGTATTTAATAATGACTTAACAACAAAACGTTTAGGACTATTCAAACGGAAACTAGAACAGATTTTATCGAACATTCAAAGGTTAGCTTCACTTTCAAAAGTCAATTCCCAGGTCGGTCTTGTGTAAGAATAATTGCTCTAAAATGTCAGCCATATAATTTGGCCCAAGTCATTGCCCAAGGATAGGGTGCTTTTGTTACCGGAGCCCTAAATGGGCGATGGAGCATTACGAAGTTAAACGTGGCAATTAGTGCGTATTTTACTATTATAGGCCTTTCACTATGTATACGCGAGGATTTGACGTTTTAGACTTTCTGTAAAATTTGATTGACATACATAGCCTATGATTATAGAATTATTAATACTACAAAAGGCTAAGTTTTGCTTGTGTATTTGTAAAGGCATGTCTTAGACTATCTTCTATTATACCTGCTTTCCTATGAAGAAAATCTATAAATGATTAAATAGAAAATGGAAAAATCAGAATCTAAGCTTTGCCACTGGATTATTAATCGGGCTTAATCATAGCATAGTATGAAAGTGAAATATTTATAAAAAGCGCAAAAAAATTGTAATACAATTTCAGATTACAATCGCTTCGATTATAATTTCTTTGACGTTTAGTTTCAACTTCCTGTTGTGTATTGGCGATTTCGTGTGGTTTTTAAGGTATACATTTAAGATAAAGAGTATTTTGATTAGATCAATTATTCTAAGTTATATTTGGTTATCGATTCGAAATTTACAAATTGCACAAATTATTAAACTATAAATTATTGTAAATAAATTCCCGAATAGATCCAACTAAATGTTGGCAATTGTATATCTGTTATAGACAGATAAATCATAAAACAAAATAATATTTAGAAACAAATGAATACTTAAAAACAAATGAATAACTTGAAGTAAAAGTCAGTAGTACGTATATGAAAACGTGATCCGATTTAATTAAACCCTCAAGTTACATATAAAAAGCGTTAAAAATATATTTGGCAACCGAGACGGAAGCGAACTGGCACTCGAGAAAAAGGCAGGTTATGAAGAAAAAGTTAAAAAATGGCGGCCATTGCAGCAGCTGCGATATTGCGTCGCGACGAATGTTGATTTGTTATCGTATACGTTCAATACAGCTGAGCACACAATCTGTGTTGGAGTAAAATCGACTTTAGTTACTTGTAATAAGATACAATAGTCCTTGGAAACGGACACGCAGGGCTGGCTAATCGGTACATACGCTTCGATAAGATTTTGATTGGAATCACTTATTTTTACAGCTGTGGTTTGCGGTTACAATTTTGGATTCCAATTTTTCTCACAACCAAACACAAGATTTTTATTCCGCAATTTTTTTAACGTGACAAACAGGACCGGTATTCTGTTACATCCAATAAAGATTCTGACGTTATTGTATGTAATTTAGATGTAGATTTCACCTTCCAAAATCGCTAGGTACTTAGGTACACTGTACTTCCAATAGCGAATGCAATTCCGACGTGAATTAATAAAAATTAATGTAATATCTATGTAGTTCTTTCTCTCAGGCCCTTAAACTTATCAAACTTAAATCAATTTTCATGAGCTGTCAAACCATTTTTTCTGTATGAAGTTTGACATATTTGACAGCGCTTAAGGAGAGACTAACTTGAGATGCGATAAAGAATATGAACTTTAATAATCGTAGCGCCGACATCTTTGGAATCGCGTTGTAGAAAATCTCAATATTGAATTTGGAATCAATCGCTATTATTTACAGAGTAACGGCGCAGGGCTGCACATCGTTCACATTTCTATCATAGTAGCGACTATCGATCCAGGACAAGATTGACTCGAGATACGTTCAAGAATATTTAAATCTTGCTTTGATGCAAGATTTAAATCTATAAAACGGTAACGGAAACCTATAAAACCTAACCTATATATAATCTATAAAACGGGACACATCTCTACTCAGAGTCGTTGATTAAAAGCTAATGGTTACGTAAGTTTAGAAATAGGTTTATGGAGCCTATGATTGTTTCCTTAATCAGGTATCAAATTTACTTTTTTTACCAAAATTACCTAACATTTTCAATAACATTAATATGTACATTAGCTATAAACATATATTTTTAAATTGGAGTGTCTTTGTTCGCCTGAAGGGCCTTGAGTTTGACAGCTCGCTCAGGCTGTTCTGGCGGACTTTTCCCGCGACTACTGTCAACTTAATAATAATCCAAAACGGTAGATATTTCTAGGGCAAAGTTTTGCTATCGCGTTTTACACATAGACAGCGCCATCTGTTGAATGATAATGATAAAAACGAAACAATCAAACACGTACTTGATACATTAACCTACCATTAAATATAATCTAATTGATTCCAACTGCCAAATTTACCCTTAAAATATTGACATTTTATTAAGTTTTTTATTAATAATTCGGCTTCACCTGAATGACTGAACGAATGCGTATATTTCATAACAAAGTGTATTTTTCTTACGACCTTCTTCAATATTCAGGTCAGTGGCTAGGTCAAGGCAGCCATTGTGTGACTGGAGACATACTTTAATTACATTCGTTGTTATGTATATTACGTTCGCGTGATACTATTAAAGACAATATTATACAATGATAGCAACTAACTACCTAAGACAAGTAAAATAATTCTAATTCACCACGAGTACAACGGAATAAACGGTACTAATCTAGAGCTTGATATTCAGTAGTGGGCTGATCAATTTAGCGTTTATGTAAATATGTCCACAGTAAAGAAAATTTTATTACATGTGATGTTCTGTGCTATATTAATATAGTAATATTACAATGAAGGTTTTCTATATTTTTAACGAACTAGCGTGTTTCGCTGGATATTTTTTGATTCTATGTAATACATATATATATTGATGTGTTCAATAAAACTGTAGGTAGTACTTTGTTCTATTGTCTAATAGTATAGAATAGTTTTCGCTGAATTTAGGTAACATTATCGGAGTTTTCATATGTATCCCTTTTTTGTAAATACTCTCTATATAGATTATGTTCGTTAGGTTGGGTTAGGATTTTAATGGTGAACAAATTTCTCAAATGCGTCCATTAGTTTTGGAGCCTATTGAATGCAAAGAAACAATCAAATTTTATATAGTGTAGATAGACTTAATACTACTGCGGCAATTTCAAAAACTATTTTTTCATATTTGAAAGCTTGAAATCCTTTAGTATATATTTATTTCCCAAAAAAAATGTCCAGCCATGCATTGCCATTTGCCGGAAGACAGAATTTTCTATAACACAGCTCGTTTTAATCGTCATTACTTAAGTCATATGAGCAGTGTTGGCCTAGTGGCTTCAGCGTGCGACTCTCATCCGTGAGGTCGTAAGTTCGAGCCCCAGCTGTGCACCAATAGACTTTATATGTGCGCATTTAACATTCGCTCGAACAGTGAAAGAAAACATCGTGAGGAAACCGGCTTGCCTTAGACCCAAAAAGTCGATGGCGTGTGTTGTCAGAAGCCTGATCACCTACTTGCCTATTAAATTTACAAATGACCATGAAACAGATACAGAAATCTGAGGCCCAGACCTGAAAAGGTTGTAGCGCCAATGATTTTACCTAAGTCATATATAGAACGAATGTAAGGAAATAATTTGTCAGGATAAAGTTAGAATTTACGCCGCTGTTATAATAAGTTTAAATAAAAATAGCTATAAATACAAATTTATTATAATTAAATCGGATTTAAGCCAGTTCGGGCCTTTAGAAAGTTGAATTTAAATAAGGACTACTTTCTCGTATGTTTGTTAATACTATCATATTTCACAAGTAAATGTGGATCAATACTTATTTTTATCGACTGAGACATACTTTTTAAAAAAAATTTTATATTTTAAAAATTCCGACATTTGTTTTTTGAAAGGACATACATACATATTAGTTGGTCAGGAAAATGGAAGGAAAGAGACCGAGGAAACATCCGCCTGATGGACGACCATGTATCACGAAACCTGAGCACTATGGTGTCTGAAACCATTCACGTAGCTGGAAATCGGCAGTGCAGCAGTGCAGCAGTGCAGTAATCTGCCACAACGGGGTCAGGAGCATCACGATGCTTAATAGCAGTGAGCTAGTGATCGGAGGAGTATATTACAGTCGACCAGCCCTGCGATTCTGTAACTCACTGAAAATGTGGGATTCTGAAAATGTGGGAGCTTGTAGTTTATTGTTTATTAGAATGCCAAATCATAAAATGACTGCTTCACGTCTGATTTGAGAGCGACCGCCGCGCCGATGCGAAAACAGCTGTGTGAGTTCAAAAAGTGAGTTACAGAATCGCAGGGCAGAACTCTATGTCTGGAAGAAATCATTAGAAACGAATTTACCTACATTTAAAGTGCGGCTCCGGAATTATAATTGTTAGTTCTGCTCTCTTCTCTTGTGAAAATTATGGCAGAATAAATAGTAACAGAAATGTTTTCGAATATGCCAGCAGTTTCTTAGAGGCGTCATGTTTTGGTTGGTCACAATGTAGCATCTCCAATGACGCATTCTCGACATACAATATCCGAACCATACACCATTCAAAATTTCGAAAATCGTTTAAACACAATTTGTAGAATTGCTAGCTATAAAATTAGTCTCAAAATCCGGTTGAAACCAGAAATATTAAAATAAACGTCGTAAATTTGGCCTTATAACAGTGGCGTGGGCACCGCCATTCTTTTTTTATTTACGATTATACTCGCATCAAGTCATTATAACTTTTGTGCGCGACTGTGTTGTGAATTCTAATTTTTTTGTTCGACTCCGCTCTTTATTGTTTGGTTTTTATTGTTCTTTGTTGTAGAAATTTGTGGTTATTGGCCTTGTTTTACAATAATGTTTTACACCATGACAAATTTATGTAGATAACAGACTTTATAATTCAGATCGCTCCGACTTTAAAGGGAGTATAGTTGATAATGATGTCAAGAATTTAGCACATAAATACTTTGTTTTACGTAATAATGAGAACGAAAACGAATTTGATGCATATCTAGTTCCTATAACAGATGTCCCACTTTCAACCTATGCCCGAGCCTTTGCATGAGTGCGTCTAAGTAACCGGTTTGTTTACATTAATCACCGGCCGTTGTGTGCGCCGCCGTGATCAATGTGTGAGTAATATCTTTACGTCACTTTGTTTACATCGGCACTAGTGTGCGTGCCTCGGCTACAGGGATTGCTTCACAGAGGGACGTCACGCGCGCACGTGCGCGTGTAGGTGTGTTCGCATGGCTCGTGACGTCACAGAGCGTTTCGTCACGCGTTTTACTGTGTGCATGAGGCGAATTACCTCTGTGCCGTAGTGTGCGTTCAGGCCAAGCCAATGTTACATTTTTGTGACCTTAACCGTCGTATTGCAAGACTTGTCCTTACGTAATTGTCGTATTCCTATTATAGACATCATTACTCAATTGGATTCGACATTTTCATTCAATTTTAAATTGAAACTTCTAGAAGGTACAAACACGGTAATTTTATGTTTTAACTATCGAAAAATTTCTATACGGAGTTATTATTTCGTATTTTTAATACAGATAATCAGTTAACAACTTATACATAATGCGCTTACTTTTAACAATTATATCGTGTTTTTTTCCTAAACCTAGATTATAAAATCCAGTTTTATACATGTTTTAAATACACTACATAAATGCATGCTTTAGTAATAAGTTACTAATGGTGATGACACGAGGCACACCTGCTGCTTCACAGGTGTTTCGGATGTATCAACAAAGTGTTTGACCCCTCATTGCTGCCACCCTAAGGGTAATATACCAAACAAAGTAACTTTAATATAACTTCCGCACACAGCTTTACATGTAGGTGTAACTCGTAAGTTTTGTACGCAATAGTTTATATTTTATTCAAAATGTGTTTTTTAAGCAGTGTTCGTCTAGGACCTTCCACCTAAAGGATGGCTGAATTTCAAGGACAGGACAGGACAGGAGTCTGGACAATTACATCTATACTTCCATTGCTCAACTTGTGGGTAAATAGGTGGGGAGGGGGGTCTTACCGACTCGTTCAGTTCCTTACAGGTCATGGATGTTTCGGGGGATACCTTCACAGCGTTGCCAGGAGGAAGGCATCCCCCATTTATCACGAGTGTGGTGTAAATTGATTTCCCTACAATAAAAGAAAACCTTCAACGTGCGATTCCGAGTTGGAATAATTGCAGTTTATTTAATGAAACCCTAAAGAGGAACACAACGTAATAAAACGTATAAAATGAATTGTCCCTTAGAATTTATAGAATAGAGCCAAACGGGAGGCTCACCTGATTGTTTAGTGACATCGCCGCCCATGAACACACTCTGCCAGATGGCTCGCAAGTGCGTTGCCGGCCTTTTAAGAACTGGGTACTCACTTTTGAGGAATGGTTAATGAAAGTAAATGCTTAGAAACTGTTGTGTATTTTGTCACTGGTATAATTAATAAATATATTTTCTGCCGATTTGGCGTTCAAACGGCATTTGCGTATTTCAGTTCGTGTGCGTTTTTGGAACTGCACACGAAGTGCTGCTCAAGTTTCCTATACAAAATATTTATTAAATATATAAAAATTATAAACATTAATATTATAAATAAGTAAGATTTGTTTTTTTGATTGCATTGAAAATGCTCCGAACAGGAGTTATTTGACAAATTATTTGACCATTAGAAGCCGACGTTATCCCTGATGAACATAGGGTATGGACTATGGAATATTTTAATTTTAAATAAAGATTGATCCTAGATCGCGTAAGCCACGGAAACT